TTTTCAAGACATCTCTGTGAAATCAGTCTGGCTTTCACAGTTGTAAGCCTTAGTGATATTATGTAACAAAACACACCAGCTGGATTTCGCTCAAACTGTTTTATGAGTAGTGCAGTGTGTTCTTTAGCTAGCTGATATGGCAAGAATCCCATGGTAATTATTGGTTTGTGTAAATATAGGTATTTAATAAGCCTTCATGTTGAAAAGGATCACTGAAATAAAAGCAAGTAAAATAGTGATGTATAATAAAATATACAAATAAAAGCACTAAAAACCTAAGATAATAATATGGGTAAAACCAGGGCCCATGGGTAAAACACAGAGAGTAAAGTGTCATAATGAACTACAGTCAAATGGCTTAGTCATGTTTTCATTATGACACTTTACTCTCTGTGTTTTCATTGTGACACTTTACTCTCTGTGTTTTCATTGTAACACTTTACTCTCTGTGTTTTCAATGCAAAACATTTAGATGAATGTGAGCACTATTCAGCCTGTTCAGCCGTTTAAAAACTACTGTAAAGTTACACATGACTGTATTTAGTGAGGTAACTGAGTTCAAGGCCACATATTTTCATCTACATCACAGCGAATGTCTTCCCTTGAAGGCAACAGGTTTTGAAAACTAGTTCAACAATTTTGTATGTGATGACTCAAACAATGAAAAGAGGACTATTTGTTTTATAGGGGAAGTATGTTTCACTTTGACTGACAGGACAGAAGCAAATTATAATGTTATGAAACAGCAGAGAATTGGATACATTTCCAAAAGCATTTGTAATTTGTTCAAAGGAATGAGAAATTGCTACGATGATGTGCAGCAATGACTTAATGCTGTGGAGGTTGAACTAATAGTTTTGATAACTTTAAGTCACCCTCCTTGGACTGCCACCTTGACGTGGTGGGGGAGTTTGCGTACTCGGGTGATCCTGGGAGCTATGTTGTCTGGGGCTTCATGCCCCTGGTAGGGTCTCCCATGGCAGACAAGTCTCAGGTGACGAGTCAGACGAAGCGCAGTCCGAAGCCAACCATGGACAGCACGACAAAGAAAACCGTGACGTTGCCCGGCATGGCGCAGCCGGGGCCCCACCCTGGAGCCAGGCCTGGGTTGGACGCTCCACTTCTCTGGTGTTTCCCGCGGGGGACTTCAACGCCCATGTGGGAAATGCCAGTGAAACTTGGAGAGGGGTGATCGGGAAGAACGGCCCCGCTGATCTGAACCCGAGCGGTGTTCAGTTGCTGGACTTCTGTGCTTGTCACAGTTTGTCCATCACGAACACCATGTTCGAGCACAAGGGTGTCCACCAGTGCACGTGGCACCAGGACACCCTAGGCCGGAGGTCGATGATGGACTTTGTTGTCATATCATCTGACCTTCGAGCGCGTGTCTCAGACACTCGGGTAAAGAGAGGGGCGGAGCTGTCAACCGATCACCACCTGGTTGTGAGTTGGATCCGCTGGCAGGGGAGGAAGCCGGTCAGGCCTGGCAGACCCAAGCGTGTAGTGAGGGTCTGCTGGGAACGTCTCAACTCACACCTCCGGGAGAGCTTCTCCCAGGTCCCGGCGGAGGAGGGGGATATCGAGTCTGAGTGGACAATGTTCTCTTCCTCTATCGCCAATGCTGCAGCTCGTAGCTGTGGTCGCAAAGTCTCTGGTGCTGGTCCCGGCGGTAACCCACGAACCCGGTGGTGGACACCGGCAGTAAGGGATGCCGTCAGGCTGAAGAAGGAGTCCTATCGAGCCATGATGGTTCGTGGGACTCCTGAGGCAGCTGTCCAGTACCGGCAGGCCAAGCGTTCCGCGGCCCGGGCTGTTGCAGAGGCAAAAACCCGGGACTGGGGGGAGTTTGGAGAATCCATGGAGCAGGACTATCGGTAGGCCTCAAAAAGGTTCTGGCAAACCGTCCGGCGCCTCAGGAGGCGGAAGCAGTTCTTTGCCAACACCGTGTATGGTGCGGGGGGAGGGCTGCTAACCTCGACTGGGGATATTGTCGGGCGGTGGAAGGAATACTTTGAGGTTCTCCTCAATCCCCCCGTCACGTCCTCCGTCCCGGAGGCAGAGGCTGAGAATGTTGGGGCGGATACTTCTATCTCCCTGGCAGAGGTTGGTGACCTCTGCCAGGTGGTTGGCAGCCTCCATGGTGGCAAGGCGCCGGGAGTGGATGAGATCCGTCCTGACTATCTAAGGTCTCTGGATATTGTGGGACTGTCTTGGCTGACACGTCTCTGCAACATCGCGTGGCGATCGGGGGTGGTGCCAATGGAGTGGCAGACCGGGGTGGTGGTCTACAAGAGGGGGGATCGGAGGGTGTGTTCCAATTATCGTGGGATCACACTACTCAGCCTCCCCGGTAAGGTCTATTCCAAGGTACTGGAGAGGAGGCTACGGCCGATGGTCAAATCTCGGATTCAGGAGGAGCAGTGTGGTTTTCGTCCCGGTCGCGGAACACTGGACCAGCTCTACACTCTCCATCGGATACTCGAGGGTTCTCTGGGAGTATGGGGTCCAGGGTCCTCTGCTGAATGCCGTCCGGTCCCTGTATGACCGGAGTCAGAGCTGTGTTCGCATTGCCGGCAGTAAGTCAGTCCTGTTCCAGGTGCATGTTGGCCTCCGCCAGGGTCATCTCTGCTGTTTGCGGACGATGTTGTCCTGTTGGCTCCAACGAACCAGGACCTGCAACATGCACTGGGACGGTTTGCAGCCGAGTAGCTGGGATGAGAATCAGCACCTCCAAATCCGAGGCCATGGTGCACGACCGGAAAAAGGTGGCTTGCCCTCTCCGGGTGGTTGGGGAGGTCCTTCCTCAAGTGGAGGAGTTCAAGTATCTCGGGGTCTTGTTCACGAGTGAGGGAAGGATGAGATTGACAGGCGGATCGGTGCAGCGTGCGCAGTGATGCGGTCGCTGTAATGGACCGTTGTGGTAAAGAGGGAGCTGAGCCGAAAGGCAAAGCTCTCAATTTACCGGTCAATCTTCGTTCTCTCCCTCACCTATGGTCATGAGCTTTGGGTAATGACCGAAAGAACGAGATCGCGGATACAAGCGGTTGAAATGAGCTTCCTCCGCAGAGTGGCTGGGCGCTCCCTTAGAGATAGGGTGAGGAGCTCGGTCACACGGGAGGAGCTCGGAGTAGAGCCGCTGCTTCTCCACGTCGAGAGGAACAAGTTGAGGTGGCTCGGGGATCTGTTCCGGATGCCTCCTGGATGTCTATGTCTCTCAGCTGGCCTGGGAACGCCTTGGGGTCCCCCCGGACGAGCTGGAGGAAGTGTGTGTGGATAGGGAAGTCCGTGACCCGGCAACGGATGAAGCGGAAGAAAATGGATGGATGGATGGACTTTAAGTCTGATCTGAGGATTGTACCAAAGCGACTGCGAAAAACTGCAAAGGCGCAGGTGTCTTAGTTGCTCAGTCACGTGGTGCTTCGGGTGATGAAAGTCATTCAAACATTAAAAACGCAACATGCATAAAAGGTCTAAAAACCCACCAACCCTTTCTCGCCCACCTTTATGCCCACAGATCAAGAGCCACAGAAGAGATCACTGTAGAAGAGCCTGTTCCATCTTGTGCACTAACAAAACCCACCACAGGCTTGTCACCAAACCAGCTGTGACTGGCCTTGTTCTCACCACTGAGACCTTAATCCTAGAGACCCTACCTGGGACCTCAAGACCAACTGTTTGTAAACTTATCAGTATGACTGCTGATTAAAGATTAAAGAGAAAATAAATATTGTTTTTAAAAAAGTATGAATATTTGTGGGAAGGTTGGTTGATGTATAGAAAGTGTCCTGGATACTGGCTCCGAGGTCACAGGGTTTAATTAATTTACATTTTATGACATGATTCTTTGGGGAGGAGTTTCAACACTAACTTGTGTTTGCTTTGTGTCTTTTAACATAGCTTTTAACCCTTGAACCACTAGCCCTGAGTGCTGCTTTCTGCACATTTCTCTGGGTTGAAGTCACATTCTTCTGAAAGTTGAGTAGCAGCTCAGCTCTCGGACAATAAGGTCCTTTGTGCTGTTGCAGAGCTGTCAGGAAAGAAATTACACCTGTATTTATATTTCATTTTAAGGTAAGGTTGTTTTTCTCTGTTTTTTTATTTTTTCTAGATATTGAGTGATTGTTAGAAAAGTAATTGTAAAACTTCAGTGCATGTGATTCATATTGACATCGTCCAGCTTCATCCTGGAGGACAAAATATGAACATAATTCTTGGAAATACAGTCAATATTTTTAAGGCTAAATCAATCATACTACTATAATAACGGCTGAGTATGAGCCTAAAGTCATATGTTTGTTATCATACTGCAAGATTACAATTGACCAAAAATGCCCTGATGCTGTCTATGTATTTATCTATGAAGAAATTAGAGCACAAGCTTATCAAACAGTGTGCCGACATTCCTGTGGTAAAGTGGAACACGAGTTACGCAAGTTTGTATCTGCTCCATTTTATGTTTACAACAAGTACATCAATTTTTATCTCGCTTATCACATAAATCTAAATGATTCTCCCATTTAAAGCTTTAGGAAATGATCACGTGTCTATATTTATCATGGTTCTTAAATTGTCTGTATTGTGTATTTGTTGCTATTTTAATCAATCTACCCAGGGGTGTCCAAACTAAAATGTGTTGATTCTCAGACTTCCTGACCAAATGGCACATAGTTGAATAAAGTGGATTCAACACAGAATCAAATGTTGTGCTTAAAAATGCTCAAAAGTCACAGGATTCCAGTCTGGGGAGGGGTGTTCTGTGTGGTCTATAAGAATATGTGACCCCCCCAATCCCACACAAAAAAATAAACATTTGCCACCCCTGCTTGAGGGGCAGAAGAAAAGTAATTAGCGGTTGAGATGCATTGAAGCCCAACTTGACCTTCGCCTTGAGAAGAGTGAAGAGTGGATTCTGCAAGTAATCTTACTGTAAAATACTGTAAAATGACACACATGACACAAGAAGACATTTTATCTGTAACCATCTCTGCAGGTCATATAGGATGGACTCCCCAATGAAGAAGCGAGTTGGCTCCACAGGGACAGCTCCTGACGGGGGCTATGCCTGGTTCGTCCTGCTCTCCTGCTTCATCGTGTTCGGCCTCACATTCGGAGTCATCAAGTCTTTTGGAGTGTTCTTTGTGGAGATCCACGATCACTACGACACCACGGCCACAACTGTGTCCTGGGTCACATCCATTGCTGTGGCGACTGTCCATGTTGCAGGTAGGTAGGTAGGTAGGTAGGTAGATAGATAGATAGATAGATAGATAGATAGATAGATAGATAGATAGATAGATAGATAGATAGATAGATAGATAGATAGATAGATAGATAGATAGATAGATAGATAGATAGATAGATAGATAGATAGATAGATAGATAGATAGATAGATAGATAGATAGATAGATAGATGATAGATGGAGCAGGAAAAGGTGGTGTAGCCGCTGGGTGGAGTAGGAAAAGGTCACAGCAGCAGAGGTAGAGTAGCCGCTGGATGGAGCAGGAAAAGGTCACAGCAGCAGAGGTAGAGTGGCAGCTGGGTGGAGCAGGACAGGTGGTCACATTCTCAGTATATGCAGTTTGTAGTGTAGTAGTGTTATTACTTCTACTACATATTGTGCATTGTGACCTTCTTCTCCCTTCCCTTTGTTCCTTCCTGCTAATGCAAGTCTATAAGAGCCATCATTAAAAAACATCATGAATAATTCCTTCACATACTGCTGTATGTGTTCAATATTTCCTTGTCTTGGAGTCTGCACAAGCATCAGTGCATAATCTAGAATGAATCTGTGTTATAGCTCCATTAGCCTCTGTGCTGAGTGCTCGCTTCGGCCATCGACCTGTAGTCATGGCCGGTGGACTCATCTGCAGCCTCGCCATGATAACTGGGTCATTTTCCAGAAATCTCTTCGAACTCTATTTGACTGTGGGCTTCTTCAACGGTATGTAGAGTACTTACATCAATATATTCACCAATGCAATGGCAGCTTTGACAATATAACCATGTTTGCTCATACAGACTATCTTATATGTAGCTCATATATGATAATAATGACGCTATTTTATCATGCTGTAATTGAGAGTGTAATAAGATATGGTATGTGTGTGTGGTTTGGGAATTTGACCGTTAAAACAAAAGCAGAACTTTACAGATTAGTGCGCACAGCCCTAAAGGTCATGGGAGTTAGGGAGCATCCATCTTTGCAGCAGATATTTGAGGAGACCGTTATTAGACAGGCAAGGAAAATCACCACAGACCCTTCTCATGTCCTCTACTCTCAATATGAGCTCCTCCCATCAGGCCGCCGCTACAGAGCACCAACTAGAAATAAGAAACGATATCTAAACCGGTATAAGAACTCATACCTACCCATATCTGTGAACCTCCTGAATGCAGGCCATCGAGCCGAGCGGTGATGGTTTATGTCGGTGTTACTGTGTTTTATAATTTTATGTCTGTCTTATGTGTATTTTCAATGTAGCAGCCTATGAGTCCAAGACAAATTTCCTACGGGACATAATAAATTAATCTTGAATCTTGAATCTATAGCACCATCTTCACCTATATTGTTAGTATTTTATGTTTGGCACAAAAAACATTTCCCTTTGCAACAAACTAATACATTTTTTGACAAAGGATAATCAACTGAACTACATTAAACTTGCTTCTTTCTAAATTGATTATGCAACATTGACTATCATAGCCAAACAGTTGAAAAATCAAGGTAAAGCAAGAGTAAAAGCAGGCATCAGATCCATCCATTTTCATTTTAACCTCCTTTATTAGTCAATTTCTGAGTCAGGGTGTGGCAGCTTTGGGGGTAGCAATCCAAGCTTGGTCAGCCAAACCACGGCTTGGCTAGAGTGGGGTAAAGCAGCTTGCTCAGGGACGCAACAACAGTGCTCTTCTAACTTGAACCACTGGCGCTGATGTGGCAGATTGGGCTGAACTGTGGTCTGATCTTTTGCTCTCTCTGCAGGTTTGGGTTATGCTTTAACTTGGACCCCGACCGTGACCATGGTGGGCTTGTACTTTGACCGCAAGCGCCCCGTAGCCAACGCTCTCTCCAGCGCAGGAGAATGCATCTTCACGTTTGTCTTCACCCCTCTGTCCCAGTGGCTCATTGACAGCTACTCTTGGAGGGGAGCGATGCTTATCCTGGGCGGTCTGCAGCTCAACCTGTGCGTGTGCGGGGCCATGCTTCGCCGTTTGAAAACCAGCCAAGACTGCAGTCGCCCGAACGAGGTTGAAGCTGTTGAAAGAGAAAGAATGCTGCAAAACAATTCCCAAAGTCAGCATAAAGTGGACAAGCAAGCATTGAAATGTAAAATGTCGTCATATGTAGACTTCTCCCTTGTTGCTGACTTAAATTTCATGGTGTATTCTATGTTTGGAGTCTTCGCCGCACTGGGTTTCTTTGCTCCGTCTTTGTTCCTGGTGCCATACGCCCGCAGTAGAGGAGTTCAGGACTATCAGTCGACAGCACTCATGTCCATATCGGCAGCTCTAGACCTCGCTGGAAGAGTGACTTTCGGCTGGGTGGCAAACATGAGGATCATAAAAACGGTACTCTCAATGTATCCTTCACAAAGCCTCACAACCTCGATTTGAACATGGAAGACGCCACAATACATCAGTTCAGTTTTGTAGCAAGAAAAAAAAAAAGATTTCTAGTCATCTTTATCAGATTGATCATCTAATACACATGTGTCAAAGTCAAGGCCCGCGGGCCATATCCGGCCCGCGAATGAATTTTACATGGCCCGTTGCCTGCCATTGACGCACTATTACGTCAATTGCGTTTTCCGCTATTTTCATGTTCCCAGATGTCTATTCTTTCTAATATGTTTAGGGATAAGCTTGAGAGCATATTGAATCGAGCCAGCAGGTGGCAGCAGCGCTCTCTGAATGGTTTGAAAACAGCTAGATGCACTTTGGTGATTTCAGCAAAACTTCCCTCTACTCAACTGGGGATTACAAGCTAGAAACAAAATTATTTTTGCTGATGAAAGTAGACAGTCTATTCTTTCAGAATCTGGTTTCGGAATTCAGATAGTCATAGTACACAATATTCAGGTCTTGAAAAATCTATAAAAATCATCAGAAACTGCTGGCACTATGGGAGTACCTGTTCTGAAATAGGCTGGCAGGCAATAAACATTGAACCAGTCCGGCCCTCGGCTCGCAGCAAATTTGTTTTTTTGGCCCTCTGATGTATTTGACTTTGACATGCCTGATCTAATACATTTCAATTCCCATTTAAGAGCAGCTTTATGAAACACTGGGACTTGGATCATACAGGCATAGAACTGTTAAAGCTGGATTACCTAACTTTCAATCCACATAAAATGGGACTCCGCCATCATATCCATCAAATTAGTTCCTTGTCCTCAAAAGAAATGGATGCATTTTTTGTTATTTGTCGTATACCTAGATTAGCTTCTGAGACGAAAAGTGAAAAAGAGATCTAAAGGCTACTGTTTGTCAGCCAATCTGCTCTCAGCTCAAATTGGGAAAGAACACAGGGCTCTTTCTCAGATGTATTCATATAGATAAACTATTTTATAATTTTACAGAATGACAGACAGAATGTTGTGTTTGTTTTGTTCACAGTATACTTTTACAAGAAGCTTTTACACAAAGCTTTCTGTTAGAACAATTGAATAATGTATTATTAAAGGGGGGAAATAGGTACTCCAGCGTTACTTAAGATACTAGGCTACTTTCAAGGTAATTCACATTATCTTGTATTGTGGCGACAATAATCAATTCATATTGCACAGTATATAGCTAGTTGTTTTGAATCATTTTTCTACTCAATAGTTTGTTATTTGTTATTCTCTTTTTGTCAACAACTTTTTGGTCCAAACTCTCGGGTCTTATTTGACGAGCACGTATCACCAGAATGATTGACAATTGGGAGGACCATTAGTCTCGACGATCCACCCGGAAGTGGAAAATCTTCCTACATACCATGATGGTCAGCACTAGATCATATATGGAATCGGGACGGAAGCGGAAGTAAAAATAACAAACTACCTATTCATGCCTAAACTTAACCAGCCATTCCCATAAAATAACCCCAACCCACCCTTAACCCTAACCTTAACCATCTTACTTAAAGGCACACCGTGTAACTCTTGGCCACTAGGGGCGCTAGACCTGCAACTTTCACGTTTAGCGCCCCTAGTGGCCACAAGCAACTCAGCACTGTCGCAAAAGTCAACAAACAGTCAGCCGGTGTCTTTTGAGTGTGTATTCAGACAGTAGTGGACCTGTTGGTTGAAGAGGGCTCATTGACTCACGATTGAAGAAAAGAAGACATCCGCTGAATAAAGAAACTTTACTGTATACTAGGAGCAAAGACTTCACTTACCAGTCTAATAACGAAGTTGAAAAAACAGAATCAGATTTACATCCAGCTTCTTCTTTCAACCTGCGCCAACGAGCAAACTCCTTTCCCAGATCGACCCTTGTTTTTCCTCGAGCACGATCCCTTTCGCGTTTCCTCTTTTTAGCCTCCTCCGAAGGTTTAAACTTTTTCCTTGCCTCAGCCATGACCAGGAGTCGAGCAGGTGAAAAATGAGTAGCAAAAGCCTTAGCTCCATGAGTATATCAGCGCCTGTAGCCGTAAAGCAAATCTTTCTTCCAAGTCACGTGACCTGGTAAACGACGGTGCGTCTGCTCTAAACTTACATGGGCGGTATTTCAAGAGGGCAGCCCCGCTCGGAGCATTGCAAGTGTCAAGCGCTGTATATTGGCCCAAGTATTCATATAAAATAACTCATATGTGTCAACTCTTTAGGTCACAAAGTCCGCGGTGTGCCTTTAAACACCTAAAACTTAACCAGTCACCATTTAAGGACGAATTAGTCTCAAATTAATTTGAAAGTAGGATTGTTACTTCCGGTTTCGTCCCGATTCCGTAAATGATCTAGTGCCGACCATACCGTGATAACACACATACACACCTAGGTCCAGGACTCAACAGGTCTACAAAGATGACGGTGCGCCCTGGCCACAAGAGGGCACCATCACCTCATGAGTTCGGACTGTCCCAAAGTTGTTTTCTTATGTATGTGTGCGTGCGTGTGTTTTAAATGTTGTATGAATATATTTTCATTCTCTAATCCTTGTTTTTTGGCTGCCTTAAAGTTGTAGTTTTTTGTGTGTTTCTTTATTTATTTTTTAAAGAGATAAGAGATCCTTCATTTGTCCCACAGTGGGGAAATGTCAATGTTGCAACGCACATACAGGACAGTAGTAAGAGCACACAAAATATACAAAATAAGTAGCTGCTATGTTTATTAGCTAAATGCTTCAATAACAGTCTTTAAATATGTATGATATTGTGCAAAGTTATATAGAGTACATACAGGACAGGATAATAAGTAGATAAAGTGACTTTCAGCGGAAATGCTGAAGTATTGCATATTGCACGTGGTTGTAGTATTTACTTATTTACAGATGAATGAAATTCACAGGCTCAGAAGTTGTCATTGTACAGTCTGACAGCAGCAGGAAGGAGAGACCACTCCTTCACACAGCGAGGGTGTATTATTTTCATGTAGAAATCTTTATGTTTCTATATATCTCTTATTTTGGCCTGCCTCAAAGTGACTCAAAAGTTAGTCCTCCTCTTTCCAACTTGCAGGTGCACCAGTTGATAGTCACGGTCATTCTTCTGGGTGTTATCCTCGTCTTGTGTCCTCTCGCCTCCTCTTTCTCCGAGCTGGCCCTCTTCAGCAGTGCCTTCGGCCTGGTGTTCGGAGCCACCGTGGCCGTCCACATCACCGTCCTGGCAGAAGTGGTTGGAGTGCAGAGACTGGGCAGTGCACTGGGGTTCTTCATGCTCCTACGTAGTTCCGGTGGGCTCCTGGGACCGCCCATCGCTGGTGAGAGAAAGAAGCTTTGATTTAAAGTCATGTATATATGTATATTAGGCTTTACCCTGTGTAAAATTCCCTCCTTTCATTAAATCAGCCCAATATGATTTTGTCAAGGTTACTGTGTTAAATGTGGTGTAATCTACTTCTCTGATGGGATTACGCTTTCGACATCATCACTACAGCCGAGTGAGCCTTTTTATCCCACAGTGAGCCTTTTTTACCTTGACAGCCAGTTGTATTAATCCTGGCTTTTGTCATTCTATTACGTAAAAATCTCAGTTAATATATTCAGTAAGCAATTTTGCTGTTTGACTGCATTAATTTCATGGGCTGATGCTTTCGAATGAGGTGTTTTTTTCAATATCTCTACAAGAAAAGAATAAATGTGTTGGGGAACACGCAGTGAATGACACAAAACTCAAAATGACAGAAAAAGGGAAAAAAAGTGTAATTGGAAAACAGCCCACCTGCTTGTCCCATATGTTTCCTAATGTAGTGTGATTTTTGGTATGATATGGTTTATGATTACGTATTAGTGATCACAAACTTATGTTGAGTTCTATTTTCTCACAAATGTAAAACTATGAGTGCATAGCAAATGGAATGTCATGCTCCATTCATGATATTTATTCTGATTTTTGTTGCAGAGGAAAATGTCTCTCAGGCATTAATTTAATCTATTCCAACGCATGGCTCAAACTGACCCCTAAAAAGTCAAGTGCAATTATGCAGATCTAGGCCTTTCTTTGGACTATTTTTAACTGAACACAGCTACTGTGGCACGCAGACTTATTTACAGTATCCTTTGGTGCTTTGAGCCCCTCCACACTTTGAAGACCAGAGTCTGGACTGATGTAGACGATGCATCAAAGCATGCTAATTATGTTTCCTTAAAGGGAAATGGACTTCAGCTTCAGAATTTTGGGTAAAATGAATAGCTGTACAGTCTGTACAAAGTCTTAAGGAACCTTACGTCTATAAATGAGTTTCAAATAGTGTCAACAAGCTGTAGACTATAGACAAGAGCTTACCTTGGTCATTTTTTTCAGGGTTCTTCATTGACCAGATGGGGGACTATGGAGCAGGGTTTCTGATGGCAGGAGCAGCTCTCCTCATATCTGTTCTCTTTTTGATTCTTCTGGAGCTGCTGAACCACACGCGGCGAAAGGCTGTCTCTAACACACCATGCGAACTCAATGGGAGGATTACACAAAGTCACGAAGCTGAAGAAGCACAGGATGCCAGAACATGAACGTTTTTGTTAAGGTGACGGTGAACAGAAAAACAATACTTTCGATTCACTGGGTGGATCCTTGTGAGCTTTGGGTAATTGCCGAAAAGGACAAGAATGTGAATACAAGTTGTCAAATTGAGCACTTAGACATAAGGTGAAGGGGCTCAGTGATGAAGCTTGGAGCAGGTCATCTGCTCTTCTACCACAGGAGACTCAGGCAGCTGTTTCGGCCTCCTAGACGTCTGGGTACATCCTACGGATAGGAGGCCCAGGACATAACCCCAACACATGAGGAAGTATGGAGGCATCAGTCTGTGCAGTCACACATCCACACTTCCCTTCCTTGTTTTAGGACCTAATCAATACATGTAGCTTTTGACTAGCTATGGATCCAGTGCTTGCTCGTGAGTCCTTAATAAAGTCTAAATAAAGAAATAAAATAAATAATTAGATCTTTCACACACACGCGCACACAAAGAACACAATCTATGAAGATTGTTTAACTTTGACTTTATTTTTTATTCTAATGTTATCCTTTAGTTTTTCCTCATCTAATAGAAAAAATAATTAATCCACCGGTTTCTGAAACATAAATGTGATTTCATCTTACAAAGGAAGATGTTGGCGCCTCCCAGTGTTTGCACTCTGCCATTACTCCATCTAAGACCTGCAGAACATGCACATAATAAGTTGATGATCTAAACACAGGACTGGGCGGTCTGTGGAATCGATCATCTAGATCAAATAAAAAAGTAGAAAATGTATTTATTTTTTGTTTCATTTGTTTCAGTGCGCAGGTGGCATCGAGCACATACAAACATTCAATTCAATTCAATCGTGCATTTTACCGAAACCATTGTGAAAGGTGAATGACGAGAGATAAACACCCATGCCTGCCTGCCCCTGACTCTCTCCTCTTGCTCTGATTCTGGAATTTAATGTTGACAATTCAGATTTAGAAAAGTTGTTTTGCTATTTTGAATGTTGGCACAGCCCACTCTGAGCGATTGCATATTGTACATATCCAAAGAATGAAAAGCTAATTCTTTTTTTTTTTTTTCCTTTTTCATTTCTTAAATCAAAGTGACATTGACTATACACTTCATACAGCAAAAAAGAGAGGAGGAAGCAAAAAAAAGAAGCCTCTGATCCATCAGGGCTTTGATCTGGCTGACAAGGCCAAAGACCAAATCCATGAGAATCTCCAAACCCAGAGACAAAGAGAAGAGGCCGTACATCATGTGAGTCCTTCTGCTGGGAACAACCAAGACTGTCTCCAGACTTTCAGGATGGGTTTCAAATAGATTCCAAAATATCATAACACTAACTTTTGTGTTTCATGAATGCATAGTGTTTGTCACATTTCTGAACAAATCAGACCACAATATGCTGTCTTGATCTTATTTGTAAACATTTTATCTTTTACACACTGAAAGCTCTGAAAGATCTGAAGAGATGATAGAGGCCAACGTTACATGCAGGTGAAAACTAGTAATAGTAACTCCTTTGAGAGCGTCAGAACTAGTCACATGGATCCATTACATAGTTATGTTTTCAAAGTAAGGTACTGCAGCTTTAATTGGGAAAAGACACATTGAATAATAATATTGGAGCTATAATCAATAGCATTTTTGTGTGGAAAAGTCCTTTTTGTCTGAGCTTTCGTAAATGCAACCTCCCATATATGTTTTGTCCTTGTGTGTGTGCATCAAACTGGGAAAGGAGCACCACAAGGTCCAGCTGAGGTCCAGCTGATGTCTGGCTGAGGTCCGGCCTATGACCCCAGGATGTGCTGACCCCATACTGGAAAAGGGGAACTAGGGGTCACCATAGAAACAGCTGAAATATCATTTAAGTCTTTTTCTCTCGTCTGCAGTGACCCTGCACTTGAGGGGTCAGGTTGTGGAATGCGGCGCAGCTACCTGACTTCAGACCAGAGGGTAGGTGTAGAAAGCTGAACGGCCTATAGGCTGCGGACATGGCACAAACTAACACACTGAGCTGTTACTTAAGAACTACAGCCGACTGCAGGAATCTATCCAGGAAAATGTGCTTGTTTTGTATTTGCTCTACAATATTAGTTCAGTCATAAATTGAATGTGCAACAATTTTTTTGGCTGATGTTGTAATAAGTTCAAGATGTTTTGAGGGAAAAGGCTACAATTCTCTGGCCCCACACCATTGTTTTCAGATACTAAAGCCAAAGTACTTAAGGCTGGAGAGTGCTTAACTTTTAAACCACAACAAATAACTGCGTAATAAAATCCATAACACTAGTGTTTTGTCCTAAAAACTGTTCTATTCTAGTTGTATTAATAGATTTCACATGCATCTGTTGATCCATTTTTGGTGTCTGTCACATCCAAAGTCACATCAGGTTTTCCAGTGAAAAATAGCAAACCAGCCTCTATCACCTGATCACATGTTTTTTTTGTGGGTTTTTTACGTTTACCTATTTTACTACATTTTTGTAATTTTGTATAATTTGTCTAATTTTGAGTGTGCAAAAAACATGGCATCATTTTCATACTTCCCTGTTTACGGCCCATCAGAGACAAGAGGATGTGTGGTCATCGGTCGTCTCTGGGTTCAGTTTAGTGTTATTTCTTACCGACGGCTTTATACCACACCTATACATATATTGTCTTTTTTTTTACATGTAAAGCAATACTGCAATAATCAACCAACAATTTGAAAAGCTCCTAAACGTAAATAAGAATCCGAAGTAGCGTCTCCTGTTTTCCAGAAGAGAAAAACATTAGATTAGACCCAACTTTAGTGTCATCACAAAGTCAGTACAAATGCAACAAAATGCAGTTTAGCATCTGACCCATGCAACAGTGCAAGTACATGATAATATTCACAACACAGAGTTGAAAAAACCCATAATGAAGCTAAGTTAAAACTGCTTAATGGAAATTAGTCGTGTTTAAGTGAGTAAAATCCTTGTCCGTCTGTGGATAATCACACCAGAGGAGGAAACTGTTGTGGTTTTGGCTTCGCTCAAACTGTCGCAGCGATCAGAGCAGAGGGCACACACACACGGGTAATTGGGGATGATTGAGAGGACGGCGGGGGGTCAGGCTAATGAGAAGAACAGCCCGCGGCGCATGCACATATGGTTACAGGTCAATGCCATTAAAAAACCTGCTCAGACCTATAACAGAAAATATGTGAGAAGTAGAAAGTCAGTTGTAAACTTTGTCACATACTGCACTTTTTAGAGGACGTCTGTTGTCCGTGCAAAGTTCAGTGATTGGGTAAATGTAAAATGGATGAACTGAATGTCTTACAATAAGTGAGCTCCATGGAGGGACCATATTCAGGCTGTGCACACCGTGTTAGATCCAGTATATTATCACTTGTACACTACTTCAAAAGTCAGGTCCCCAGCTTTGTGTTTCTATCAATCGAGTTCATTTATCAAGCAAAATTCATGCAGTGCAACCCATAGTGCTTTACAAAGACATACAATCATACAAATATTATAAAACATATATAAAACATATAAGGTAATGAAAATAAAATAAATGTGATAATTAAAACAGTTTGAAAGCTCAATATGTAAAACTCATACATTTCACAGAGAAAAAGAAATTTTACTTGTAATAAAGCTTAATATTTATATAACAACTGCTGTTTTATTAGATGCTGTTCATGCATATGGCAAGAAATACATGCAAGTGAATATGGGTTTTAGAGTTTTTCCTTGCAGATGCAGGAGGGTCTGTCAGTCTTAGTGGGTCTAACAAAAAAGACTGGGCTGAGGATCCAGGACACTCCACATTCTACAACATGTATGGACATTTATCAACATTCATGGACATTGGTCAACTCCTCCAATGGACCAACACATATGTGTTCTGTATTTTTGTTGTGTTTGAACGGTTTGATTCTCTGATCTGTGATGGCGATTTCAGCGGTTTTGAAAAGTCCTCTGAGATAACTACTGTTGTGAAATAGGGGTATACACGAATACATTGAATTTGAAATTTAATTGAGTTGAAAACTAATAGTGAGTGAGAACGACTGTCCTGAGAGGCAGGGTCTAGTTATATGGATTTTATGACCTTGCTTAGGTGCCAAGGTCCACTTATTTTTTGTGATTTGAAAGTCTGGTTTACCAGCATAGACCTCTCCTGTTGGGTTCCTGTATTTTTTTACTCTGCCTACTCCCTCCCTTTCTGTTTTTCAAAGCTTGTGTGTGACAGGGGGCGCCGCTGGCCCTGCTCATGTTCACTTGTCAGCCTCACTTGTCATCCTGTCCTTTGGTTCAGACTCCATTTCTCTGCCAGAATATTCCACGTTACCAATTTACCTTGTGTGTTTTTCTAATATTTCATGTCTTCTCCTCACGTCCTCTGCCAGCCTGCCTGTTTAGTTTCATAATTAATTCACCTCTTCTCTGTCTATGCCTTGGGGTCCAACATACAACCGTGACATCTCCATGGAACTCTTTTATAGGCATAATTCACATGGAGGAATGCAAATCCGCTCCTTGTTTAGTCTACTGTATGCTAGTCCATCATCTCTTGTATCAACACTTTTCTGTCATCTGCCGCCTGTTTGTGCCTCTAATCTGGATGCTTTCGCTCCCTTCAGCCCACACACAATATGGCGACTGTTCAAAGGCACTGGGAGCAACAATATGTCACTAAAAAGTTACTTGTAGATACAGAGGCACAGTGTGTGATAGTATTACAGGACTCCGCTGATATCCAGTCCAAATGAATGGCGCCAGTCATGCCCCCATTCTTCCATTACAGTCAGACCAAATGTATAGAGCTTTACAGAATAATGTCCCCACTGTACGTTTAGGGAGTGTGTGTAGGACTTTCATCTTCAAGCACAAACATGCAGATAGTAAAAGTCATTAAGGAACTTGTCAGCTGCTCCAGGCCCAAACTTACTGTGGCTTTGTGCTATTTTATATCATTTTTTTATTTAGATAGAAGCTTGACATATGATTTTAGGCATCATTTTTGTTTTATTGCTTCTGTTCTTACATTTATTTTGTCATGCCAGCACATTTTCAGCATTGTGTGGCTTCCCCTAGTAGATCTATTGAAAGCTATGGCATCAACCGCAATATTCACAAGGTTCAAAGATGCGAACTAAACCAGTATTTTTACTATTATTAAAAATATGTCTAATTTATTCTTCCAAAAATAAACTCTTATGTCATTCATGTGTTCAGAATGTTTTTGCAGTACTTGTTTTCAAGTTAATGTACAAGTACAAATGAAAAATAAAATTAACCAGGAAAGTCCCACTGATATTCTAGAATTTCTTTTTAGGGGAGTCTATGCCCTGGAGAGATGGGGCTATTGTAAGGATTCCAACAAATAGAATTAAAATAAAAAAATACAATAGAATCAACTTGTAGAAGACCAAATGAACCCTGTTGGCCTGGGTCAGTATTTGTGAAACGCATTTTACTTCCATTACAGCATCTTAATCTGCATCTAAACATCAACATTCATGCATTAGAAAAAATAGTCTGCAATTTGTATCTGTTTTGCTTTTAGACTTTAGAATCTGGACTGGAGTGAGCATTTTTATATCATGTGGTATGAAGCTCTTGAGGCACTCCACCCAATAGAAGAAAAAAAGGAAAAACTTGCAGTCTCCAGAGTCTAGCGCAGCGGAAGATGAAAGGGATCTGAATCTTTTGAACGTTTTAGCTCCGAGTCTGTGGCGTTTAGTCTTTATCTCACTCTTTTTCCTTCCTCTTCTGCTCGTCAAGATCTTGTTAGTCTTTTCCGAGCGCTGTTTATACGCGACTGTAAGGGCCACTCATTTGAACAGATCCTGTGTCTGCGCCGTTTGTCGTTTCCTGTTTGGAAATAGAGCCATAATTTTAAGAGCCCTTACATTTACAGTACGTGCTCTGCTGTCTCATTGTGTTTAGATTATCTGCTTTTCATACTTGCGTATCTAACACAGACGGAGCGTGTGAGAGCGTGTGGGAATACTCCATCGGGATCCAGCTGGAACTTTCATAGAGGGAAAATGAATAACATACTAGGCAGATAATAAAGTCCAGATCTAAACATTATTCAGGTTTTTTTTTTCATTCTGTCTTTTTTTGCTGTGTGACTGGGAAAACTTTTGCTGCACTTACGATTGCTTTGTTATCTAATAGTCGTAGTTAATAAAACATGATCTTGAGAATATGTACTTATTATGAGAACTCAAGGGGCATTATGCAACTTTGTATGTGGAAAAAAGGAATATTTCTACGTATTTGACCTCGTAATGACCCAGGGGCTGTATGAGTGGTCAGCATGGCGGCTTTACTTTCAATCCTAGAGTGGTCTCTAGGATGCTATAGGATCTATTATTTGTAAGGTTTTCCTTGCTGTGGGACCCCTGCACCAAAAAAACTACAAAAAGTTGATCCTGAAACACTGTAGGACACAAACATCTATCCACCGGCCCGTCTTGACCCTACTCGACTCGGCTTTACTCTAGCTGGTTGTGTTTCCTCTACGCATTATTATCCACATCCTATCAAGCTACCCACAACAAATCAGCATCCGGGGCTACCAGCAGCACTTTAGTACCAGCTGGGCCTGGATAGAACTAGAGCGAGGCAGGAACATAAAAAGTACCTGTTTTGGGTTAGAATGATAGGTACCCCAGCTTTCCCCTCACTAAAGTTTATCACTATTTTTCCAGGAATCCCAGAGTGACTAGTGAAAAATCTGCCTTATTTTGAACTGGATAGGATGACTCTGTCGCTAGAGGCTTTAGGCACATAAATGCAACGTTAACTCGGCTGTAGTCTATGAGCCTGTTTGCATAGGGGTGACTCGACATCCTCCCGCTCCACTATCTCTCCATGTATCTGCCCCCTTTTGTGCTTGCCCATTTTCCCTTTGTGTAAGTCAAGCTGGGGCCTCTGTGACTCGAGTCCTGCTTCTGTAAAACTAATAATGACTGCGATTTGTGTCGGCTTAGCATTCTTTCACGGACCGGGGAAGGAGAGAGAGGTCCGAAAAGGTTACAAAGCACTGGAGTAAAGGGGCTTGTGGTCATAAGTTTTTAGGGGGGATGTGTCCAAGTTTTGTTTTTGAGCTGGACCAAGATGGAAGATGGATTTATGGAAAGAAAAACAGAAATCAGTGAAGCAGTGAAGATGGGAGGCCCCCTGTTCCCGGCACCACATGCTTTTTATGGGTCAGTGCCACCAAAATCACAGCTCATCTTTTGAAAACATACTGGACAAACAGGAGTCCATCCGCGGCTGAGATTACATTCCACTGTTTTTCTGCTGCAGAGAGAGAGAGAGAGAGAGAGAGAGAGAACGCTAGTGTTTTGGTCTCAATAACAAGTCATTCACAACCTATACTTAGGTAAGCCATTTGTTTTAGCATAATAACAGATTCAAGAGACACAAGATTTCAAACGTGCACTTGCACCGAAACATTTCCCAGCACTGGCCTGTGTGTGTGTGTGTGTGTGTGTGTGCTGTGGCAATAGTTCAGAGCGTGGGTAATAAACTTTCAAACCACAAAAAATGTAATTATGTATCAAAATGCATTTTGTTTTTTGGACTCTCTTACATTTGTGAATCACATTTTCCAGAGAGAAAAGTGAAAATAGAGTAGCTCAACCTGGAGCTCAAAGCATCAAAAAAATGTCTCACATTGCTCTTTCTTACAAGTGTTGAATAAAACATATATAGTGTTATCGAATAAGATTAAAAACTATATGTATTAAGGAAAAAGTTAGCCATCAATCTTACGATAGACAAAATACCTCTACACCTGACCAAATAAGCACATTCTTTTTCAATTATTACATGTTGGCTCTTGAAACACTTATTCTTGTTTTGTCTCATTGAACACAGTTCAGACAAGGGAAAGACAATTCAAAAGCCATGGACCTTAATATTATGCAGCTGTCAGAAGCCACCACAATTACTCAAAAGGGGTCAGAGAAAAATAATTCAAATGGAAAACATCCAAGATATCATAAGATGGTTCGGTCTTTGCACTGTACATTTACGGTTCCGTTACATCAAACTGTATTGTCACCTCTTTTAACCAGCGTAAATGTTACTTTTTACAGCAGAACGAGCAGATGTGAGGAGCAGTTTCTCTCTCCCCCTTTCTCCCCACAAGAGGCTTGCTTTCTAGTGCCGCTTTCTCTTCTCCTGATGTCTGGACCTGACTTCCTCTAGTAACTCCTTCCCTAACCCTTTCATTCATTCCTCTGTCACTCTCTTCTTTGGCTAGCGTGCACGTCTCCCCCCCACCACCACCATCACCACCACCACCTCCACCACCTCTCCCCCTATACCCCCTCGGCCCACAGAGAAGCCAGTCTTTTTGGAGGGAGAGAGAAGGAGAGAGAGAGGGAGTGGGGAGGCTTGTGTAATCGCCTCTTCAGTACGTACAAGCACATGAGAACCGGCAGCAGCAGCAGCAGTTTTCACCACTTTACTGGACTAAAGTAGCACGAGAGAAGAGAGGGCAGAGGATATTCGGTCACGGGACACACCATGGCACACTGTCTGGTGCTGCTGGTGGGCCTGTTTGTGCTGTCCACGGGCTGTGATGGCCGCAGGATCCGGAAAAGAGGACTTAACCATAAGGTGAGACTGTTTGCTTTCGTTCAAGTGAAATGCCTTACGCCTTAACAGCACAATAGACTTTCTGTTGCTGGAGAGGCTGGAAGCGCCGGTGTGTGGATGTTCGCTCTGTGGGAAAAGTTTTGTGGCTGATGTGAGAGGCAGCTGAAGTAACTTGAGATGTGTAAATCTGACGGGATGTTAATATGGATTTGAAGCAAGCTGTAGACACATTCTGATTATCCCACTGCGGAAGGTTTGCCGACTTGGAAATAGAGTCGAGAAATTGATCATAGGGAAAGGACTAAACCTAATTGTCAATATGTTCACTGTAGGCTGCAAAAACTTCATGGATTTATCACTACTAATAATTAATGGATGGATCATCAACTGGAGATTTGATACTTACTCCTTATTTTGCTAAAGTCAGAGATTTTATACTTAATTCTTGTTGTAGATTTTACCCTGGCTTTCTTATTATAAACAAGCTATTCAATACTTGCCTCTTTATTATGCTAAAGTTTAGTTATTGTTAATTTATCTTTTGTTGTGTGCTCCTCATTCCAACTGTTCTGTAACCGGCGATGCAACCCTGAAATTTCCCCACTGTGAATCAAATAAAGGATCTTTATATAAGAATCTTAATTTTAATCAACTAATTTAATAATTAGCGACTCCCACTGATGACTGCTGTCGTTGTGTCCTTGGGCAAGACACTTAACCCCACTTTGCCCAAAGCCCCCACTGAAAGATCAAGGCTATGCTCTCACTCAGAGAGCAGCCGTCCTCCTGTGGACTCACCACCTGCAGAGGGTCAGTGAGGGGCTGGTGCTATGAGACTTGGGTGGCATCTCTGATTGCCACCCCCCTGACCCAGAAATGGATTAAAGGGTAGAAAATGGATGGATGGAATTTAATAATTATCATACATCTGGATTGTGCTTGGACTTCAAAACAGGACATGTGCAATGAACATATTTCTTATAGCTCAGACTAAGAGATGATTGTCAATTTATGAAACATTGTAAAACCTCTGCATGTAAACATAACATTCTAGGACTTAAAACTGGGGAACCTGACTTGTAAACCAAAATATAACATGCAATTAAAGTCTAACTTGTTCATTTTAGTTTTTACATGCATGTATGTTTGACCCCTGTCACATGTTCAAACAAAAAAATCAAAAAAAGAGAGCCCAAAGGGTCACAGGGCTCTAGTATGCGAAAGGCAACATGTTTTCTAATGAGAAGAATTAAGCCTATGGTCTGAATTGTGCAATATTTTATTTATATTTAAGACGAATTTTGTTGGAAGTGGAACTAACTAAATGTTTTGTTGTGTCAAAAGTTAGGTACCCCAGCTTTAAGCAGTATTCTAATCAACATAGATCCATCAACAGAACAGTCATAATTCTAATGGAATCACAAGCACATGGTTACAGCTCATTCATCTGAAGTATATCGCTAGCTATGTTTTGACACGTACAAATTACTGACTTTAAACGATGACTTTCAATTCGTCATAATTCATCATTTAGTGAGACGGTAATAAAACAAAAAAAACCTTCCTTCCTTGACACACATCGTTTTTAAAGTGGAAAAATGCACTCAGCCGCTTACAGCACTGATAAGACTTATGAGCCTGATAAATGTGCATTGACAGGTGAGCTTTTCCATTTCTCCTCAGTTATGGAAAACTGTGTGCAGCTATCTGTGTGCACACTGCAAAAAAAATGCTAAAATATGAGGTGATAATAGCTTGACATTAGTGGTTTTTGTTTTAATTTGATTACATTGTGACTGTCCTAACACAGGATTTGGCAACGGACAAATCACTTTCTCATCTCATTTCAAGAACTGTTGCTTTATTTTCTCATTCCAAGGGAGACATTTTTTTAATACTTTTACTCGTCCCATTGTCAAATCAAGTCAAAATGTGCTCAAATTATGAATCATTTTGCCAAATTTGAGCAATTCTTGACTCATTTTTCATCACTTTTTGCAGTGCAGAAATTAAAAATGAGAAAGAGGGTTGTTTTTTTTTCATATTTTAAAATGTGAAATGATAGAAAACATAGAGACAAAAACAAACAAGGGTCTGCCCTATTCCTATGCTACCCCATGGGAAATGGGTAGAATTCCTTTTGTTTTTCTCCAAATTTGAAATCTACCATCTACAAATACAGCCATGTGATTGCAAAGAGCACAATATCAACTGATAAATTGCTAATTGTAATTTATGTCTCAAAAAACAGCTCTGAGCGTGATGTCATAGTGGGAGAATGACATCATACTATCACGGGTCTGAGACAGGAGCTTTTAGACAGAAGGGGCGGAGTTACATGACTCATATTAGTGTGGATGGATCTAAAAACAACTTCAGGTCTGTTACTGAGGAGAGAACAATGCTGTCACATGGTAAAAGAGAGAAAACTAAATTAAGGTTCCAATGTGACCTTTGGAGCGCCACATGCTTGTTCTGCTTAGACCGGCTGATTGAATAAGTCTTCCTTAACTCTATTGAATTTTTATGCATTCTTTTTTTAGTTTAACCATGAAAATACCATGGTTACAACTATGCCATAGTCAAGAGGCGGGAAAACAACAAATTAAAAAGAGCCACACTAACCTTGAAACATAAAGGAAGACAACAGATTTGATTTCACACAAAAATAATGTACTTTTTTTAATGTTTCCTGTAATTTCGTGTCCTGGTCCAAGGCACTGAAAAACTGGAGTGTTCTTCAAAGCCTAATTGGAACATGCTGAGGCGGCTTTGCACATTACATTTATCTTCTTTCCTCTTAAATTCTTTCTCTTTCAATCTTTCCTTTTGGACTCCACCGCCTTCTCATTGAAACAGATTCTATCCTGGACGCACATAGAGACAAATTATAGTCAGTGGGGACTTCATGAACGCAGTGCACAATGGGAAATTAGATCTGAAAAGTAAATTGCTTGATTACGGTATCAGGGCTGCAGCGGCAAAATGCTTTCATCTGGTCCATGGACTTTCTGTAATGTACACATGGTTTAGTACTTCTATCTATCTTTCTATGTTGCATTATGATTTTGGACGGTACAAACAATATCACTATCACAATGAGAAACCAGCTAATCAAAAGCGAAATTAGCAGCAGTCACCTGTATTTCATAGAGGCAAAAAAATATGTGCAAAGAGATCCAACCAGACAATGCCAAAAAAACAAACAAATCATGACTATTTGATGTTATGGACATTATGGTAAAACTTTAAAAGATTAACATTGCTAACAAGGGCGATTGTAACAAGTGGGAGTGACTTTCGTAAGGCAGAAGGTTATACTCAATACACAGGGTTTGAATCCCAGTCTGAACCGGGTCTTTCTGAGTGGAGTTTGCATGGTATCCCTGTGTCTGCATAAGTTTCCTCCGGGTGCTCCGGTTTCCCCAACCACTCAAAATATGCACAATAAGTAGTGTCCTCCAGCTCTGGTAGTCTTGACCAAGGCGAGCATCAACATCTAGAGACAGTGGTTCCCGAGCTTCTGATAGACGCCCTAGTGACATCAGAATGGGTAAAATGCAAAGTATGCCCTACAGAGTTAAATAAAATGCACCTTTACCTTATTTTTACAATATAGGAGTAATAAGAATGAGCTCTCAGGCTATATCTGTTGCTCTCACATCCTTTGAACTGCTTTCTCAATGAAAATACAGACAAAGTGCAATTACTCCTCTTATTGATCATGTCAGATGTGTCCGCCTTGGAACAGAGAGCCTGTGGAGACACCTGCCCAGGCCTGTACCACCTCCTCATAAATCTGTTTCATTCTGTAGGATGTGGGTGCCTCAAACAGCAGCTGAGGGTGAGGGCCAGTGCACACACTTCCTGGTGCGGGCTGGTATTAAACTCGGCCTGGGGCTTCAAAGACGACATCAAAGTTCTGCCTTTAAATAGGAGTTATGTAGATTTGCTAAGTTTCCTCCTGCAGGCAAATGATTTTCATGGCACACACACACGCGAGCCGTCAGACCAAGCTCAGGGCAGCAATAAAGATCGCTCAGGTCTTTGTTGTGATCTGGAGTGAAAAGAAAGAGCGTAGGCTTAAGTGCATTTATACCGTTGCAGGTGACTTTGTTGTGCATGTCTGGGAAATGTCTGGGACTTTTTTCTCATACTATAAAAGTCAGTTTTGCTCCAAAGTTGTAACGTGCCGATCAATAATCTAAACGTATTCAGTATCCAAGTATCCAGTTACAATAATATACACTACCGACTGCTGTGTTTGCTAGCAACATTGAATATTTGTGAAAAATAAAATAAAAATCTTCAAGTGATGCAATATATACTGTACATAAACGGCTTAGATTCTGACTTTGGCTTATAACACTGCATCTTTGCCATATGGGCTGATCCGTCCTTAGGCCTTGTTTATAAAGCATGTATACATACAAGAATGTTGCTAACGTGACTTTTCATATCAAGTTTGTGATCTATGTGGCCGGCAAACGTGCAATTTGGTCCAAGAATCAGAGAATAGGTTCCACAATAGAGCACTGCCTTAGTTCGAAGGTTTTTCCCCCAAGTGCCCCCTCAAATATCTTGCATTAGGGAAGTTGCTAGGTATTTTATTAGCCACTATGACCATTTATCCACATTATAAAATTCCACTGTATTAAACACTGTAAAAAAAAGTTTACTTCCAAACCTGACAGCCTGCGCCATATTATTATTGATGGGACCCAAAATCCTGGACTTGGATTTGTGGTGATACAAAAATAAATCGTCCTATGATTATATCTGTCCTGCAAAAGGTTGAGATAACACATCCTCAACCGAACAACCTTGTCTTGCGCTGAGAGCCATAACTTCACTCCATGTATCTTTCCTCATGAAATTCAAGTCCATTTCTAAGTTTCCTCTGCATCCAGCTGAAGATTATTGGCCTTACATCATGCAATTACATACCTGTCATTCATTTCATTTCATTTCATTTCATTTTCAACCCCTTTATTTGTCCATTTCTGGGTCAGGGGGGTGGCAATGAGAGCTGCCACCCAATGCTCATAGCACCAGTCCCTCACTGATCCTCTGCAGGGGGTGAGTCCACAGGAAGATGGCTGCTCCATCAGTTGAGAAACTGCCTTGATCTTTCAGCGGGGGGCTTCAGGCAACGTGGGGTTAAGTGTCTTGCCCAAGGACACAACGGCAGCAGTCATCAGTGGGAGCAGTTGGAGTAGGTCCCATGGTGGGAATCGAACTCACGACCTCCAGGCCCAAAGGCCAATGCTCTACCAACTGAGCTACTGTCGCCCCACCTGTCATTCACTCAAACTTTATTTTGGCACAGCCCAAACACTGCTGCATGCAAGATTCCGTCTTTTCTGTCAATTCAGGTCTGCTGTTCACAGGAAATGAGCGTTGACAAACAAAAGCCAACCAGATGTGCAGAGAGAGAGCTACTTGACGAACCGCTGTGCCAGCGACGAGATAAAGCAGTGTTAGCTGTTTACGTTGAATGAAACAAGCCCTTGACTTTAGCATTCACCTGTAAGTGTGCAACATCGCTGAGCTTTATGGCATCTGTCTGGATCTCTTTGCAAAACTGTGATTGGAGAGAAGCGCCTTAAGTCACGGACTCTGAAATCTGTTGTGGTTCTTTGCACAAATTCCCCAAGAGCCACAAGACACGAACACTTAAAAGAGCACTTCTTCCACTTTGTGTCATTGCTTGCCAACACAAACGTAACGTGATATAGCCGACAACGAGACGGCATCAAAGGAAACCGTACTATCGACTAACCACACAGACAAACGGCTTAAAACGTTAGCGACAATCAACAAAGATGATAGTTGAAATTCCACCTTTGGTTAAAAACATTGTTTAGCATGTAATTGTTGTTTTATGTGATGATTTGTGATGTGGACTGTGAAGCGCTTTGTGTTGCCCTGTGCATGAAAGGCGCTCTACAAATAAACTTTGATTGATTGATTGATTGAATTGGAGCAAACAGGTCGTTGTGCTTAAGACTTCTGTTGAACCTTGCGTCTGGACCTTCAGAGATCCACTGTGAGATAAACCATTAATGATATATCGTCGTTATCAAATCCTCCCTTGTAGACTGTCGCTATACAGTAGATAAGGATCATGAATCGCAGTGCTTAATTTGGGTGGTTAAAAGGGGCATGTGTAAAAGCAGCCCTTTCTAATTGTGTAATAATGGGGCCATCAATCACAGCTGTATTTGGATTTATTCATGCATGTTTGAGTAATAACGTATTGGCCTGTGTGGAATAAATAATAATGCATAGGTCTGTTATTAAATGAATTGGACTGGTGATGGATAACAAGAAAAAGGAGAGAATTTGAGCGATTGAGGAAGAAATGGCATAAAAACATAGCAACTGCAGAACTTGTATAGAAAAAGCTCCAACTAAAGTTTAAGCGAGAGAAAGTGATTTTTTTCCACATACAGACGTAAATATTAAAAAGTTATTATATTATAACGTTTTTCATGTTGTAATGTAACACTTATGCAACAGCTGATGGAGCAAAACAAAGCAGATTGAAATTGTTTAAACTGGACACAAGCTAACAATTAATAATAGTAATAATGCATTGGTTTTATATAGCGCTTTTTTGGACACTCAAAGACACTACTGTAGCCACAGCTGCCCTGGAGCACAGGCAACCAGTATATGCCATCGGCCCCTCAGTCCTCCACCAACCATTCACACACACACCAGACTCATTCTGGGCAATGCGGGTGAAGTGTCTTGCCTACGGACACAACAGCAGTTTGGCACTTTACAGCTGCGGCCGCCCCACTGTAGCACCTGGTGTTCTCAGAGGTCTCCCATCACATTACTAACCAGACCCAGCCCTGCTTAGCTTCAGAGGCCTGACGAGATGCAGGAATGGCCACAACATAACAGGATCCCTATTATCGCATACATGTTCTGTGTGTTTCCCTGTATTTTGGTGTCCCCTCTCTGCACTGTTCACATAAACATAACTGTTGCTAGAGCCGTGTGCAACCTTACACAAAATAAAATAAAAATACATACCTTGCCTGGTTTAAGAAGAAGTGGCACATAGTCAGGCAAATATTGTATTTTCTAACTAGGTGCAGTCGTCACAAAAATCTCAGTCCCTTCATTCCTCATTTCTAACTTGTCACTGTCCAGAGGAATCAGTCACTGCTCCGAGTGAGTTACAACGACCACACTTTTGTTGTTGCAGTTGTGTGAGAGTGTGGTTAGCCTGCCAAATAAACGGTGCTGTTTAATGATCGTGTGCAGACCGCAAGCCCATTATCTAATTACGAATTCGGTCTAAATCAAACCCACTCGTTACACTGACTCGAAACAATAGATTTTATGAGACGCTCGCACTGAATTCACCCGCGGTTCAAAACATACATCGTTACAACACAATTATTGGCTGCTCGTGTCACTGTCTGTGCATGAGGATGTACTGTAATAAAAATGTCTATTAAAATAACAGTTGAAGCGTGTTTCCAGTTTCCACTCATGACCACGAACTAATGACTGGTTTTAAGCTCTTGTTTTCATTTGGTGTGGGTCCAAAAGTAAAGTGGTAGAGTGCAGTTGGATGAAAACAGCTTAGATTGTTTGCCTAGAGTCAGTTTAACCAAAAGTGTCTGTTTGCATGAAGAGAATAGTTTATGCATGACTCACTCCACTTTGTGAATGTCTGAAAACTTGATTAATAAAAGTTTTACTGGAACGATTAAATAGCTCCTGGGAGGTCACTAAAACTAATATTTATGATTGTCTGTACACAATTCCCACAATGTATTGAGCGTGAGAAGGCGGTGGCAAAAGTACTAATGCTCAAGTAAAAGTATAGATAGCAGACATGGGCTGTATACAGATGGACATTACTTACCCTCTTGCTTGAGAAGCTCGAGATGAAAGTGCTCATTGACAAAGTTTTGCTCCAACTCACTCTGGCTCCTATTAACTTACACTGAAAAGTAAAACATATAGGTCGGCACTCTTTATATACAATACTTTCTGTTGAATAGTTATTTATTTGTTGCCTTTGAAACAACATTAAAGAGTCAAATGTTTCGCACTGTCAGAGAATAAGACTTAAGAATGAGTTCTAAAGGTTCATGTTATGTTTGAGTTGTTGTCTGAACTTAGAAGCATGGCTAACCTCAATGAAAAAATTCACTTTGAAAAACTGCTTTCCTCTTCCGACCTGTTTTTATGCTGTGTTGCCATCTAAAAAGTCATTTAGAAATGTAAGCCGTATTAATGACAGATAATTGAGTTTAAAAGTAAAGAGCAAAAGTAAAAAGTTGAGTACAGACAGCAGGAGAAAATACTTGAGAACAGTACTTAGGTAAACAATACTTTCAGTAATTTCTTCCCACTGTCTCGCTAAAGGTTGCATCCCAAATTGAATTGACTCCATTACATGCTCTGCTTGTTTTGTTCAAGTCAAAGTTTTGGCTTAAACCAGCGTGACCTAAACGTTCAAAAAGTCTAACCCCAAACACATGGCTTTTCCAAAGTTAAATCCAAAACAGCTGTCAGATTCTACGGCAAATAGAACTTTGTAGCCAAGAAGCGAGTAACCCATAAAAAAAGTATACAAACATGGATGTGTACAAATAACAATGGCTTTAGCGTTCAAAGTGCTGCAGCTGGATCCAGAGCAGGGTATGTTATATCGTGGCTCTGAATGTGTTTTATTTGATCTTTCAGAGCTGAGTGAGAATTTCTGGCCTCACACTTATATTTCCTCTCTCCAGGGAAGTGTCTGCTCCCACTGTGTGCATAGCCTTCTCAATTCAGGTCACGACTCTCGCAGGCTCCCAGACTCCGCTTTGCATGTGTTTTACTGGCCTCTCCTGGTGACAAGCTGCTATTGCATGTTTCGTCTTCCAGGATTATGAGTACCCCAACCATCCCCAGTCCACGCAGAAGAATGACCGGTGCCCCCCGCCCCCCCAGATGCTGCCGGAGCGGGCCTGCGAGGTGCCCGGCTGTCGCTCGGACTCGGAGTGTGAGAGGCACAAGCGCTGCTGCTATAACGGCTGCATTTACGCTTGTCTAGAGTCAGTACAACCGCCACCAGGTCAGTACAGGATTTTTTTTATGCATAAATGTGACATGTTTATTTTTTATTTTATTTATTTTATTTATTTTATTTATTTTATTTATTTTATTTATTTTATTTATTTTATTTATTTTATTTACTTTTTTTTTACTTTATTGTCTTCTTGTCTTTGTGTTAAGTTTTTTCTGTTTGGGGTTGCACTTTTGAGTTTTTGTTTCATATTGTGTTCTTTTTGGGTTTTTGTTGAATGTTGATGTGTTTGTCAGTTTTGTTGTCTTTATCAATAAAAAATAAAATAAACAAGTTACATGTTATTTGTATGGGTAAATAATATAATTTGTTATGCCACAGTTCTGGACTGGCTGGTGCAGCCCAAGCCCAGGTGGCTGGGAGGGAACGGCTGGCTGCTGGATGGTCCTGAAGAGGTTCTACAAGGTCAGTTTATGTTGCATGAGGGCAAAGCTGTTATTTATCCTGAATGCAAATATAAATATGTTCATTTACACCGCCAACTCCCAGAGCATTCCCATGGTCAGAAATATGCTTTTTTCTCTCTATTGAAATAACATTTTTAAAGTTGCTAACGTCACCTTTAACTTGAAACAGAAGTCAAATTGCAGATGAAGGCCAGACTTTTGGTGGTTTTTAAAGTGTCAAAGCACAGAGACAGAGCATTAGCTTCCAAGCTCCTATACTGTAGAATCAGCTCCCCATCCATGTCAAGGAAGCACACACAGTCTCTACACACAACATCCCTTTTTAATATAGCATATGGTTAGGTAAGTGGTGATTATCCAGGACACTCAACAGCATTCATGGACTTCATCAAAATGTATGGACTTTGGTCATCTGTCCCTTATGGACCAATGGCATTTATCATTGCATTTCTTTAATGTTTTGATCCGAAAATAGTTGAATTGAATGAATCATTTACTCGTTGCTTGTTCTCTGCGTGCACTCCTTGTCGTAGCGGAGGCCTGCAGCACCACAGAGGACGGAGACGAGCCCCTTCACTGCCCCACCGGATACGAGTGCCACATCATCAACCCAGGAAACCCCGCCGCCGGAATCCCCAACCGCGGCCAGTGCATCAAGCAACGCAGCAACTCTGGTGCGGACCCCAACTGTCTGTACGGCAATAATTCACTAAGTCATTGGCGTCGAACAGAGCCACAGATCATCTCCTATTAATGGTTGTAATCGATCTGGCGTTTATTTGATCGAGTTAAGTCTTAGTCATGAGGCTTATTATACACACTATTGACAGATCTGGAGTGTAGAGCCAAGTCCAGAAACAGCTGAAGACCGATTGGGCATCTCCTGGCTCAGTGCTCTCGACAGGGCGCCAATTCTCTACTTATGAAATCAAAGAGCGTATAATTAGCACTGCTGATAGCTTTCATTGTAAATTAAACTCACTTAATAATAGGCCTATAACTCAGAACAGTTTGACTTGATGATTATTTTGTATTTTTTTAGATGGACGCGGTCTGAGGCATAAATACTTCAAGGACTACAAGGATTACTTAGGTAAATTCTGTCACAATCAATATTTACTTGACTTCCTATTCAAAATGCTATGATGGAATATAATAGATTGCAGGTCAAAATGTATGGTCAGTACATTTACTTTGCAAAAACACAAGTATTTTTATCAATAACTCTTTATATTGGTCATATTTGAGCTTGTTCTGCTGGTGTGTCAGTGGCAAAAAATCGTTAATGACACTAGATATGTATGTATCAAATATGTATCGTGACAAGCCTACTTTTTAACATATTATTATGTATTATTCATCTTGATTAAGAACGCAATACAATATGGTCCATAGGTAGAACTTTGACGGATTATTGACTAATTCTTTTGACTTTTTTCCAGGAAGCAATACCAACAATGCAGTAGGCTATGAGAAGCATCAACACAAGCACCTCGGATGAAACATTTATACATTTTAAAACTTTAACTACAAATGAATTATATGCTTATTGACGACAAAATGGGTCTCCCTCTAACCTTTCAGATGTGGCCTCTTCAGTCTGGAAACCACTAAAAACTACATGGTCTGCATATAACTGCTGCTACCTCCTCATAGAGAAAATCACATCCATAAAACCAAAGACTTCTATTGTTGGTCTATGCAAAAATCATTCCTTCCTTTGGATCTTGTCAAAGGTCATCATTGATGAACATGTTCTGTATTATTAATAAGCTATGTCCTCTTAAGTCCATGTGGTGATTCTTTGGCTAATATTGGAATGGGCTGACCCACCGTACAATGTGGGGGAACTGGTTGGGCTGTTTTCTGGTGCTATTCATCATCATCATAAAACAAATATTCTGGTGTTTGATTTGAGAATGTTCATATGTTCAAAATAAAAGTTGGAAAAACTTCACTTTAGTGTTTCCTTTCTAATAATAATGCATCGGTTTTATATAGCGCTTTTTTGGACACTCAAAGACGCTTCACATGTCATTATTCATTCACTCCATACACGGTGGTGATAAACTACTACTTTAGCCACAGCTGCCCTGGGGCACACTGACAGAAGTGAGGCCACTAGTATGTGCCATCGGCCCCTCCGAACACCATCAACCACTCACACTCACACCAGACTCATTCTAAGCAATGGGGGTAAAGTGTCTTGCCTAAGGACACAACGGCAGTTTGATTTCAGATACATAGGAAAAACAGTTTTTTACCGCTTAGATTCGGAATCTGAATCGGATCTATTTCTAGCCAATTGTTAAAATAGAACCCTCAAACTGAAAAAGTGAAAGATTGACAAAAATATGTACCCCTCGTATTTAGATTTAGAGCCATGCTTTTGAATGAACTCACACTCGCAAAAACATGTCAGGGATTTTACATGGCTTCCTCCTGGAGATTTGTTTTCTTTTTTACTTTATTAAAGGGTCGTTAAAGCTAATATCCAGTGACTTGCATTCGTTGAGGGGAATAGTCAAAACACATGGTCAGTCACAGTCAAATAGATATCTCCAGACACAATATACCAAAGAAAATCTAGAACAGGCGGACTTCGATCATTCTCTGGGCAAAAATTGGCTTGATTGAAAACTTTTCAATCAACTGTTGTAGAGCATCTTTTCTACACAAGGCAACACAATTGTAACACTTTTGGAAGATTGAATACTCGTTTTAGAATTGAGGGTCTGTGTAGAGTTTCAGGCTTCCCCCAGCTCACTCGTTACCTGTGCACTGGTGTAAAAGTATCTCTCCGCGGGTGAGGCTCCGGACCTCCTGCCCTCTCTCCATCGCTCAGAGCGCACCAAGTCACGTGGCACGGGCCTATTGTGCCACTGCGTCAGAAAAAAAACTTGCAGGTCTATTATTCTCGGAGGGAACCAGTAGTGATGTGTGTCAGATGCAGACTTCTGGGAGCGGACACATCAGCATCTATGGGATATGACTCTATACCAATGCATCGTGTGGGTTTGTCACCATGAGTGCGCCAAACAAGGCCCCAGACAGAAGGTTAGTGTGATGCTGTGACGCAAATTCAGCAAGAGTACGTCAAAGTTATTAGATTTTACATTTTTTCTTACTCTCGATATGTTTTGTGTTGCTTTGTGTTTTGTTTTATCTGTTTCCGTACACACACCCTTCACATGTATGCGTTCAGTTTGTCTAAATGTATCCAGAAGATGTCACTGTTGCGCACATGACGATGGACGTATTCCGTCTAATATTTCAGAAGCCTCACGTTGAACATATAGACTTCCCACTCCTTTTTGAGCTTTGACAGGAGTGCAAAAAGGGAAACCCTTAAATGTATGTATGTACGTATAGGTTTCTAACATGTATAATAATGTAGTTGCTGTAAAGTCCATTATTAATTAATGTTTATAAACTCGAAATAAATGGAATAAATCAAATAAAAAGAATAGACTTTACAACCTAACCTGTGTTTCCTCCCACACAGATTTACCTCTAAAACTAAGGCGGAGAGATTACTAAAAGACAGAAAAAGGACATTTCCACTTCTCTTCAAGGTAAGTTGTTATAAGTCTGTGATATTTTGATCTTATTTGTTTGTCATAATTATTTTAGTCCTTGACATAGTCTGATAGGCTGTTCTGGCTTAATATTCGGGGCTGTGTTTTGATTATGTAAGCTTCCAAGTGGTAAGATACTACATGGTGTGTGTTGAAATGTGTGACATTCAATAAATGTTATTTTGGTGATTTAGTAAACTCAGCAGAAGTGATTTATTAGGGAACACTCTGCTCTGTGTGTTACGTGTTTGCAGCTCGTGGCTGTGGCTTGTCCCTGACGGTCGGTCACTGACTGGAGCTGGGGACATGTTCCTGCTTAACACAAGAACTATTTGACAACTTTTAGTTTTGAGAGTGCAATTACTTCGCATATGTACCTTTGTGGTTTTCACAAGGTAGTGACTTTTTCTAAATCTACATGTAGTTTATTTTTTGTCATAATTTTTTCTGAAAGGATCTTATCGTTTCCATTTGAGTTCTTAGCATTTTGTAGCCTTTCGACAAGGCATATTCATTTCTCTGAATTTCCTTTCCTACATCAAAATTACGATTCTTGGAGTTCTACTAGTTTCCGAATTTTGGCGGCCCTAATGTGTTAATTTAATTTAGTTTGTTTATTTATTTAAAATGACAAGGACAGTGTACAGTAAACATTAACCTCCAAGGGAAAGATGCATTGTACCAGGTTGTAGCTCAAGAGCTTATTTCCACCCGTATTCTCTGGGCAAGCAGATGTTATGATATCACATTATTATGACAAACATACATAGATATACAGTTTACATTTGGCCAAAATGCATAAAAGATCATCAAGTCTTGCACAATTTGTTAAAACCTCACATTCATATCGCTCATTTATACAGGTCAAACACATACACACACACACACACACACACACTCTCTCACACACACACACAAACACACACACGCACACACAGACACACACACGCACACACACACAAACACACACACGCACACACACACACACACACACACACACACACACACACGCACAGACACGCTACACATGAATGCAAGTTTGGTTTGACAATAACCATATCTTTAAAAGGTGTGAGAATATATACAAATTTGTGCTTGCTCTCATCTCTGTGGGCAACATCTTTGAAATTCTCCATTTGCGTGCAAGAAACACCAAAAGACCAGGATCATGGGAGCAGAAGTTTCCAAGTCCTCCCTCTTGTTCCGTCCTGCAGCACACACTCCTGTCACTGACCAAAACTAGAGGCTAAATACAGTATGTCATCAGTCTCCTCTTAGCACATAAACACGTACATAATCTGTTTCTTTAAGGATTATTCAAAGCCTAAATTGCTAACCCTGTCTCTGGAGGTGGCCAGACAGTAACGAGTTATGAGCAGTATCTGTTTTAATTTTCAAGTTGCTTCATAATATAGAAAACTATAAGACTTGGACTTGACTTGGACTCGTGAGTCAAGGACTGGCAAGCACTGAGATACACATTGGTTAGTTCTAAATGTAGGCAAATATATTTCTTATGTTTTGCTCTCTCTTTGTAATTATGGTGAGCATCTCTACCTCTATTTTGTACATATTTTACAGATGCCCTGAACAGTATTTGAGCAGTTTTTAAGTTGAATAACTCCTTAAGTTCTCCCAAACCTATGCACAGTGGATGTTGACTCTATTGGAAAATTAAATACAATCTGAATGGCCTTCTTTACCATGTGATTAATGGCTTTGAGTGAGTTCCCCCACACTTCAACCCAATCATTTAAGTCAGACATTGTGAATGAACGATACAATAAGAGCAGTGCATAACTGTTCAGGAAGTGGCTTGCTCTCTTCATGCTCACAAATCATTTACCTAATGTGGTACAAGCTAAAACCTGATTCATCGTGGTACAAGCTGAAACCTGAAGACTATTGTAATATACGGATGGCGATCTGATGTCTATGCCTTCTGGATTTCAGAATGTTTAGTTATTAAAAAATGAGAGGCACACAAAATAAATAGTTCCTTGACGGTTCACCCAATTTTTCTGTTTTTGGCACTTTGCAAAATAAACTGGCACATGCTTTATGAGTGATAGTGTTGTGGGTACACCCCATTGAGCTCCTGTGGAAAAGTGTGCGGCTCATTCTTGTGATGAACCCTGTCCCTGATAGAGTTTCTCATCACAGCTTTGTGCCTCGTTGACACCAGAGCCCTGAATTAAAGCCGACTGTTTAGAAGGCTCTCGTCCAGTGAATTACTCCGTGATATCATTGTTACGGGCAGAGGTCACTGTGCCACATGCACTCAGCCCAAACTGTGTGCTTTCTATCTGAGCGTTTAACCATGCACGTGTATTGTTAGACACAGTAATTCATCTGAGCAACACTGGTGCCAGTGCCGCTGGCCACATGGTCGGAGTTTTAGTTATGCTCACCACATTATAACTGTTCATAACCCACGTACTGTAAAGAAGTTTAGGACTGATGGTAAGCACTGCTTTTGGGTTCCTGTGATCAGTGAGAACAAAACAAATAGTTAAGAATGTGATGTAAACAGCCACCCAGGGAGTTTGGTTAATGAGTGCATGTCTCGTCCACATGAAGTGTGTTTTTTCTCTAGCGGTGAGTCATGAAAAGCAGAGCTACTAAATAGAGACTGCAGCGTCCACCCCCATCACACCCTCTGTCCATAGGATCATAACTATTGTTGTGTAATACTGAATGTGTGAAGTGTTATTTCTGCAGAATATACTCTTATATAAGTAGAAACACTGTTTATTTGTTTTCTCATAAAATCACATTAAGAAGCATTGCTTGACTGTAAATAAATATTTCTAGATGTGTAGCCTTCACTGCATGTCTGAACCAAGCTCTCAGTATTTTCAACATGGCATATTCTCTGACAGTCACCTAGCCATGGATCTGTTTCAATCCCCTTACTTGTTTCATTTCCTTTTGTCTGCATTTATCTTTTGCCCGCCTGCTTCATCTCTGTAATTTTCAGTAATTGGGGATGTTTAACGGCTCTGTACAGTCAATGTCAGTCAGGCTTAAAGCGGTTCCTTGTCCACAGGTGACAAAAGCGTCTCACCTTGCAATGTTGGTTGTGCTTACTTTAGGAACTATAACTCAAGACGAGCTAGCAATACTGTTGAAACCAGTACGGTCAAGACAGACGGACGTCTTTTTGACCATAAGAGGGGAGTGTGCGGTGGTCATGTCATGTGTTTCTAAGGTGCATTGCCCCTGGGTGCCTGGGATGCCGGGCCATCATCACTCAGCAGAGGCCTAGCCCTGGAGCCGGGCAGCTCCATCCCCAGATTGTCAGAGCTGGCAGGGCTGTGGTCTGGGGCATTCAGGTCAGCAGCACACATGACACCAACGTAAGCATATTCACCACTGCACCATCACACACACCTTTTTCCATGGACAATGGACGTGAGGGCTGTTGAATAGGAGACGGCATGAGGTTTGATGTGGCCATATGAGCATAAGAACTCGTAAGGAATATTCAGTTGGAAGTCAGAATGAGGCCATGGATCAGGTCTCATTCCAGGGAAGTGAAGGGGCAGCATATCCACAATGAAAGAATGATTGACGAGGTAAGACTTCCACCATTCTAGACATAGAAGAGCTTAGACAACACAGACAACTTTCGTTTATAAGAACCTTCTACTACAGTAAATAAAACAGGTCTCCAGGAAAAAGCATTGTAACAACATGGCTTAAAGAGTATGCTTAGTAATTAAGTCATTAGTAACGATGAGTAGTAAGGTTATGATTACTCTCCATTTTGTTTTAGTCCTCTTTGTTTTAGAACAAAATGCTGTCATTTTTAACATTCATAATATACAGAATTATTGTGCTTGTTTGGTGCCAAATGTTTTATACTAGATCTGATTAAAATAATGAAAAACTGCTCGGAGTATCCTCCTGTCCGGGTAACATGAATGTTTCAGTATTGATTCTTTCTTAAATGAGTGAAATAGTTAAATACTCATCTATCACTATCACCAATACTAGTTTTAGTGAAGATGAATATCTACATTTCTGATGCTTTAGACAAGCCTGTTATGGGCTCTGATAGACATTTTAATCACTAGTAAATAGGTCTATTATCGCCTTTGCAAGTCTTGTGAACTTGACCCATCTCCAGAGAGCTCCTCCTGTGCCTGTGTAAAGGTGCAGATGCTTGAGTCCACCTGCCAGACGCGGTCAGCCGCGGTAAGACTTGGCTGAGTCCTCTTTGCCAAACGTCCAGGGACATAGATACTGTCTGTTATGTTTGGCACCGCCTCTCTCTCTATCCACTTCTGGCTCATGGTGGCATTGAAGTGATGGCCCAGCTCGATGCACTGATGGATTATTGACACCTGGTCGTTCAGCCGTGTTTGGAATGAATGAGAGAGCGGCTGTTGCGACGCGGTCAGCCACCTGCTGTTCACTCACACCACGTCTGTCTCCAAGGCTCTGAGCTGTGGAAATCTTTACCCCCAGCACCAAGCTCCTGTCAACTAAAACTGCATCAGCAATCGCCCCTACCCCTTTTGTTATCTGTTTTATTATCTGTTTCTCTTATTTCGCTTTTTTTTTTGTATTTTTGTAAAGCTGATTATATTCTAGTGATGGACCCCAGGAAGACTCGTTGTCACCCAGTGGTGTCTTATGGTAATCTAGACCAAATAAACCTCACAAACCTCACATTTTTGACTAAAACATCAGTGGGTGTTGTGGGAAGAACAGAAAAAATATGCCACATTGCGCTGGAGGCATCAAGGCCAGCTGACAGTGCAGTAAGAAAATACACTAGCACAGAAGCCATGCAACAAAAATAGATGCATTTTTTTGGTCGCCAAAACAAAGTGATTTACTGATTTTATTTTTGGTGGACAGAACTTTGGTAAGCAAGATCTTTTCTTAGATCACATGTGTTGCCAGAGTTATAATTGTTACACTGAATGTACTCACAAATTTCTTTGACAAATCTATTTTGCCATTCATCACATTTTGAATGTAAATCAAATGTTTTTCTTAATTATTATTTTTTCAAAATCTTGGGGTCCTATAGATAATCATTCTTCAGCATATATTGATATGTATTAATACTTATGTTTCTATGGGCGTAATGGTGCCACAGTAGTGTGTGCTTGTGCTTCACAGCAGCAAGGTCCTGGGTTCGATTCACAATAATCCAGAGTGAATGAGTGAATGAAGGAATGAGTGAATGAGTGTGTTTTGGTGAGTCCTGGGACTATGGGACAATGGATGCAATCCGCCCAAGGCCACAATCCACTGTCCCATCATATTAAACTAAACAATGGATGTTGCTGTTTTTTGTAAAAATGCACATACGTGCACATGAGAACAAAATATGAAATAGTCGTTATTCATTAGCATTCAGTATTCACAAGAACTAGGCTGAAAGTAATCGTGTGACAGTGGGGAAAAATGATACGTTTCTCTGTGGGGTGCCGGCATGCTACCAAAAGCTGAATGACTGGCGTGCTCTAAGTTAGAATGTCTCCATGTCAATAGAGATTTGGAATGTGTTGTCACTATAAAGCTGCTAGGATAGATAGAACATCACTTTAATTACATCCTGCTTTGTATAAACACCACCAAAGACAGCTTTCTTTCTTTCTTAAATATTGTATTTACTCCAAAGAATTTCTCATAGAACTTGATGAGCACTATTAACAGTAAATGATGGATCATGTGACATTACACATTGTGTCTTTCTATTTATTTTCTTTTGTATCTCCTCATACTAGAAGTGCGCCTTTTTAGTCGGCTGCTGCATGGAGCAGGCACAGGGCAGAGGCTGCATAGAGCGTGGATAGGTTCTTACCTGTCAGCAGCACAGGAGCATCCCCCAGGACTCTGTGCATGAAGCAGTGAGGAGCTGGTGAGGAAAAGGGACTGTGGAGTGTGACGGCCCCAAAGGCCTTGTCTCCAGGATACAGTGGCAGCTCCGGACCTCAGGGGAGGCCTATTAGAATTGCATTTGTCCCAGCCAGACTTCCTCTTATCTGGAGTCTGCTTCAGTGTCCACAGGTCTTAGCTCAGCTTGTGCTCCCTGAGGCCCTGGCAGGTCTGCAGCAGCCCCTGATGTGTCTCCAGCTCAGGATGACTCGCTTGTTGCTCTTCGTATAAACATCAGCAACGAAAGCGAGCACAGAATGACTGCAGTCACCTTCACTATCAGCCTCCCGAAGACCAAGAGGCAGATAATGCTGACCTCAGGAGACGAGAAAGGGATTTTAGGGAACAGCACCAATTGATGCATTGTGGGAGATTTGAGTTTATTTTAAAAAGATCTTGAATCCAAGGATACTTGTGTTGCTTGCACTAGTTTGAATGGTCCTTTGGTAAGGCGGCTTAGGGGTCCGTGCACACAGAATGGGGCAACTGTGCCATGTGGACGAACCAGGGATTGTTGGTTTTCTGTGGCCTTAAACTCCAGGGCTGCTGCTGCTGCTGCTGCTGGGGAAGAAATAGGGTCCGACCAGAGGTAAGTCTGAATTTGATGTTGTGCTGCATGTTGTACAAGATGAACTTGCCTTTATCAATCAAATCAGTTTTAAAAGGCCTCCACTTGAGGCCAAATTGTCCCGGCTCCTCTGAGTCAAAAGGCTTTTCACCATGACAGACCCCTACACTTTCATTTGGCCTTGACAATCTCTTATTTCCTAGTGGCGTGAAGAGTTGTTTTAAAGACCCTCTGAGAATACTGAAGACTGAATTCTGAAGTCTGTGAGAGTGCCTGCCATATTTTGAATACCTAAAATTGTCTCAAGTCTCAATTTATGCCATATTTGCAGCAAACATACATATTGTATTAGTAAAGCTGTTGTTCTAATCAAAATAGCTTACCAAAAATGCATGCCTATTCATTGTTTTTGCCTGCATGCATTTTCATTCAATTGTATTCCCACTGTTTACAGGTCCAGAGTCTTAGACATGGCCTGATTATTGAAGTGGCCAACAAGCTTGTATCTTACATAAGAGCCCATTAATCATATTAATACCTTGTAGCTTGCTGCTCCTGGAGCAATTGAGTTGTAGGAACCATGCTGTGAAACCAGGGTCAGGTCCAGACCAATGTCCTCTTATTACTTTGGCCGCAGCGCGGATGCTATAATTCTCCGATGACCAAGTCCCTTGACTCATAGACTAAAATTGCATTTCAGGAATTCTTTTTCTGTCACTTTTATTACTATTTGTCTGGAAATGTCAGATTCATCTGTTCATACAGTCGCGCTGCTTCTGCCATCCTGACGTGCTCTGGAGCGGAGTGCTGCGTAGAGGGAGTAGGCTGAGCTGTGGAGGTGGATGACAGCAAATGATAGAAACAGATCTATATCAGGAAAGCCCCAGCTGCCAGGCGCAGAAACCTGAACAGGTGGCTGCTCAGTGTCTTAGCGGAGCGCGTCAAGGCGCAGAGACCCTCAGCAGCTTGTGGCTCACTAATCTTCCCTCTGACGACAGCACATTTACTCTGGTCGTGTAAAACCAAAGACAGTCTATGTGCCGCGGCTCTCAGCGTTCACTCTTTATTCTGTGCATCGGCAGCTGTTACTCAGTGGAAGTGGTGGGCTTTTCTCTTGGATATTATGCTTCTTGTTTGGATTGTATAGTCTTCTCTTTGGTGTCCAGCGGTTGCACGCACTGACTCAGTCAGCATGTTGCCAGAAATAAACAACAAGGTGAGAAGTTTTTCATTTTTGAATAATACAGCCTTAAAATCAGATTTATTATGATCTATGTCCTTTGTGACGTGCAGTGGTGGTTGTTTGTAAAATATGTCCACTTTTCAATAATTTACAATCATTGTTCTATAGCTATTTATGGATCAATGTCGGAAGTTTAATTTCATATACTGAGGTGCAAAACAAGCGAATAAATAACATATCCATGGCAACAAGTGACACCTTTAATGTTTTATTGTTTTCCTTTTCCTCCTAAAAGTGTATTTTCTCCAACCAAGTGCTTAAAGATGTGACAATGTTCTGCTCTAAACATATATTTATTTAATGACTATGTATTGTTACAGATTTGTTGACAGTTTTGCTACATTTAAACATTCTACTCTGTAGTTTATGAAAGAGGGCACACATGCATAAACATAGCAAGTATGACAGCGGGGTGTAGGTTAAAACACTTACATATGTTTATGTTTAGACCTGTTCCTTATGGCAGCTTTTATTGCTTTGACCAAGTGACCCCCAACATCCTTTAATGAGCTCCCACTTAGTGCATTCCAGCAGCAGCAAAAAACCTCTCACTGTAGTGATAATAATAATAATGATAATGATAATAATAATAGTAATGAAATAAATATTATTAATGATAATGATAACATAAATAATAACAACAATAATGATAATACTAGTAAAGATCATATAAAAAAAAAATTCCCCTTTTTATATCTAAATTAAAGATTAACATTAGGTAAATAATAACAATAATAATAATAATGATATTAAATAATAGCAATGATAATGATAACATACATAATAACAATAATATTGACAATACTAGTAATAAGGATAATAACTGTAGTTTTTTTATTGATCTGAATTAAATACTAAAGTAAAGTCAATAATAATATTCATCATAAAAAATTAAGTATCTAAAAATTATACGTTTGCGTGGCTCATTATGTCTTCTTACTGCGATGTTTTGAGGACCTGAGGCGCCATGCTGACCTACATGCCTTGTTCTCACTCCTCCCTATATGGAAACATGACTACATTATTTTACGGATCCTCCCTCGGTGTATGGTTTTTGTGTTACTGAGGCTCAAAATCAACAAGGCAAAAGGGAATGGTGTCTTGATGCAGAGCCTGAATGAGACGACTTCTTATTTCCATGATAAAGATTGACTCTCACCTGAACTTTTATTTTGGCAAACACAAAATACTTTCTAGTAACGGTATCTGATGTCATTTCAAATTATCGTTATTTGTTGTCATTAAATTCACTCATTATTTCACTCATTTTCTTTATGGTTTGCTGCAGTGTAAAAACGTAAGGCTCCCCAGGACTTCCCTAAAAAGAGTTTCTGAAATCTCAGTGATACTATTATTTTTGAGGCATTTGTACCAGGTCTTAAACCCAGTGGTGAGCATTGAGAATACTCTTTTTGTTTTTTTCAGAGAAGATTTGAATGTGTACACGCTTTCAGTCTTGGAACCATAGCATCAAACTGTCTCCAAACTCTTTTAATATTTCCATATAGACAGCTTTAAACAGCACCACTACATCAATTTGATCCCAATTTCATCTCGGAGGACTGCACAAAACTGTCAATTCGCCAGCGCAGATCAGAGAATCAAACTGTTGAAACACAGGAAATTTGATGTTAAAAAACCCATAGTTAGAAAAAAAACACATTGGTAAGAAACAACATAGACGACAACAACATAAACAGTGGGGAAAAAGAAGCCAAAAGTGCAAAGGAAAGGGATTTAGGGGTCGCAGTTGACTTTCTTTGGGTCATGCTGTGTGTCGTTCTCTCATGATCCAAACAACAATAGAAAATATTGGAATAATGCGTATACACAAAAGAGTAGAAGAAATCAGCCACAGCCTAGTTTCATTCCTATTTGCGGCAGCTCAGCTTTGCCCCATATATTATCACCCTCTGATTACAGCCGCACGTGTCAGCCGGCTCTGTGCACAATCGTCCCAAATGCCACTGTGCGTTTATCCTTCCCCACGAGGCTTTGTAGAGTTTCCATTCTGTGCAGTCAAGTGAAAGATCAAGCCGCACGTGTGTAAGTCCACTGCGAGTCCACTGTGAGCCCACTGCATTCAGTCTCAGGAGCAGCCGCAGCCACAAAAACATGATCTGCGAATACGGGACAATTGTAAAAAGAAATTAACTTTAGTAAGTATTTTTGCAAAGTGTAAATAAACAGCTATTCTTCTTCATCAGAGCTCAAGACCAGAGGCGTTCCCACATCCACATCGAATTCTCTCTGATGGATCCCGCCTTGGGTCAAACCGGTCCTGCACACAGGTCAGTTTACCGTTTCAAATGTCAAACCGTTTTGTGTCACTTTCCTTCAGGACTTAAAGATGCAGCCAGTGATTTTTCCAGACGCATTTTGTTAAATAATGTGGGAAAACGTCTCTAAACGTAGCCAAGTTTTCATGTGTTTTCAAATAGTAATGGAATTGACCAGATGCCTATAGTCTCCGAAAATGTATAAAAAAATAGGTTGGAGCGGACCTATAAAAATAAACCAATGGGATTCGTTCATCCCCAACAAACCAATGGGATGCGTTTACCTCCTTCACCCTCTTCCTGTTTATCGCGAGTGTGCGCACCTGAGTTATCTGATTTTCTAAAACCTAAAATGGCTGAACAGAAAATGCCAATTGTTGTGACAAAGACAATAAAAGGCTGGATGTTTGGTTTGGTGGAGAGGCGAGGGGAGGGGAGTAGTGGTTTCGAGTTGGTGCTACGGCTAAGCTAACAAAATCGCTTACTGCACCTTTAACTCTCTGTTTTCAGGTGTCTGTCTTTTGTCTAAAATACGCACTGGCAACATCTGTCATAGCCTTGTTGTGCGTGGTATTGTGGTCTCACACATCAGTCTTCTCCATAGTGCCAACGACAGATACAAGCGTGTCTAATTCAGGCAGCGTGCCCCAGGTCGTGTAGCAGCATGGAGCAGTGTTTACTTCCTTTGCCTGTTGTAGCAGGTGCTCACAACTATATTTAGCCTTATCTCTATGCATCAAAACCACATCCCAAGCAGTTCTCATCACGTGCATGAAAATATATACAGCGATGCTATTTTGGAATACTGTTAATAATTTGTTGAATAGGTCAGGTATATAGATGGTTTTTCACAGTCTAGTTGGCAAATGGGAGAAGTCTAATTTTGCCGTCAATGCTGGGTCACGGGCTTGGAAGGCTGTGACACAATCAATCTCGCTTCAAAAGGCTGGAGGATGGCAGCGAGAGAAACGTGGTTGCTGCTCATCACCTCTCCCACAGAGAGGCTGCAGACACCAAGAGCCGTGGGGGGTCCTGGTCACCTGAACCTTTGCTGACGTGGATGGCAAAATACTGCAGCGGGAAATGCTAGCTTAGTAAAATAGCAAGACCACAGAATGTTGATATGCAATAATATGTATGTAATGTAATTTCTGCTTTTTTTGTGTTAATAATACATTTTACTTCAAATAAAATTGCTTGTGTTTCTTGCAGAAGTTTGGCCCTGGAATAGGAACCTTACCACAGCTTGAGCCTCCAGTGATCCAGGTTTTGGTTAGTAATGCCAAAAACCAACACCAGCAGACAGACAGCATCTTACCCCAAATCTCCTCCAAAGGGACTCTCAATAACTTCCAGGCCAACACTGTTAGTATGCATTGTTGTCTTATTATATTGAATATTGTTTGCGGTGAACGATGTCCATCAAATGATTATGATTTCTTGAATATTCATTTAGCTTCTGATGTATTTTTGACAGGAGGAAAGGCCAAAACCATCTCAACAGTTTGCCATGCGATTTGGAGCGACACTGGACAAAGTGTCTGCCTCACGAAATGGCAAGAATCTCAGCAACAAATTGGAAAAAGAAAAAGCATGTGAAGGACTGAGGCTGCCCATGACTCCCACTGGTGAGTGCGTATGGATGGCAAAAGATAGTTCTCGCCATAAACTAAAAATATGCCACTGACGCTGATTCTGATTCAAAATGGTTGGCACATGTGTTATCTGTATAGCTGTGTTCTAAGTGACTCATGCAGTCCGCCTCTTCTTTCGCCCTTTTGCAGAGGTACTGAAGAACTTCCAAGACCGGCTGACAGAGTTTGAACAGGAGGAGATCATGGACTACTCAGAGATATGGTACTTGGGTCTGGGAGCACAGAAGATAGAAGGGTCGCAAGGTGCACCACAGAACTCCGGATATGATGATGAGCATGGGAGCTATATACGGGTATGCTATTCTCACTTCAGCTAACAACAGAACGGCCTCACGTGGTTCTATGAGTCAGCCTTTGGATGATTTACTCAATCCGTATCCTCAGAAGCGACCTGGGTTTAAATTTGCAGTTTTATATTACTTGTGGCGATCCGTACAATCTACATGAGCCCATGTCTTCATTTGACCCAAATCCTCTAAGGCTCAATCTATTGTATAATGTGCAGTGTAAGGTCATGGTCAGTGATTGTTTTAGTCAAGTGCTATATTGTTATGTAATGTTCTCATTCTGAAAAACGGAACATAAATACAGTATGTCTGAGGACAGCTTTAGTGTCAGGACCGTGAGCGATGGTTACAGCAGGACAAACGGGCTTAGTGCTGGTGCAGCTGTTCTCTGTCAAAGACACCATACACTAAGAACAAGGCAGTGCACTGTATTATACAATCATCAATCAACATTTCATCATTTAAACTGATTTTTCCCACTCCTTTTTGAGCTTTGACAAGAGTGAATAAAAGGAAATGTATGAATGAATGAATGCATGTCTGTTTCTATCATGTGTAATATGTAAGTGCTGTAAATTCTTTTGGATTCCTGTTTAAAAGCTTGAAATAAATCCAATCAATAAATCAAAAAACACACAATTATGCGCACTGCATGTATGAGAACAATAAGTAAATGAATGAATCTACTGTTGAGTAAGGGTTGGTTTTGTGATGTGCTTTAGGTGCTTCATGATCACATCGGATACAGATTTGAAGTGCTTGAAGTCATCGGAAAAGGATCGTTTGGGCAGGTCCTGAAGTGTCTCGATCACAAGAACAATGAACTGGTTGCCATCAAGATGATCCGCAACAAGAAAAGGTTTATTTATCAATTCTCATAATAATGATCATTGATTCAGAGGTGTCAGTTTTGACACGTTTCAAGGTCAAGTACCTGTGAGATTCTACACAGAAGGTGTTATTAGTCATATTCACATGCCCTCCTCCCTTCGTCTGAGAGAATATATCCTGTTACATTTCAGTCTGCCAAATAGTTAAGATCCTTTTTTAGCGTGATAAAAGTCGGCACCCTGGGGTGTTGCATTACCTGTCTGCCCTTAGTTTGTGTCGCAATGTATTGCTGGTAGTTAGCTTGAATTATGCAGCAAACAAAATGGGTGCAAACTACCGTGGACCTGTCTCCATGCTCTTCATCTTGTGAGCTTTGGTCCGGATCTAGTTTCCTTGACTGTTTGTATATAGTCTAGTATTTATAGAGCCCATATTTGTGCCGTCTTTAATGTACAGGGGAACAGCTTTAATGTCACTCAACACCTATCAGTAGACCAGAACAGATATTTTTAATCCTTGCCAGTGCCATGTTTAATTTATGCCCTCTGACTGCAGGTTTCACCACCAGGCACTGGTCGAGCTAAAGATCCTGGATGTGCTCAAGAAGAAGGATAAAGACAACCTCCACAATGTCATCCACATGAAGGAGTACTTCTACTTCAGGAACCACCTCTGCATCTCCTTTGAACTGCTGGGGTCAGTTCACTTCCTTGAGGATTTCAAACCTATGATCAGCGACCATCTTTTCCCATTTCTAATCAATTGCATCACGTTCACTTCGTAGATCACCATGAATGACCAATTATACCTATCTTTTCAGGGCGGCTAGTTTTCTGTCTTACTTTGGCTGAATGACCTTTAAAGGACGGCTTGGACAGCTACCTTGTCTAACATTACAGTCACTGAACCTCTTAGTTAAAGCCTTGATTAGGGCCCTATCTTTTACCCCTTCTTGCTTCATGGTGTGAAGGCTCATATTACACAGGCTAAAGACGTTTATGCTTATCTCAAGCTGCAAGAAATAGCAAGAGCGAAGGCTCTGTCTCTGTCCTCCCTAGAGCTAACTACTATAATGGGAGCAGGTATGTGAAGAAGTCATCTCTATTGTCAATTTGCCAATTTAAGTATTCAGTATATTAAACAGATGGCCCGCGGGCCAAATGCGGCCTACAAGACCATACTTTTGGTTCATTTTCTTTAAAATATAAAAATGGCAAATAAAAGGAACAACAGAAATGTGCACTCTTATAAAAGTGTACACTTAGAAACAAATAAATGTTGATGAATTGTTCCTGTTTTGCCATGACAATGACACTGGTGCGATGTCATGATTATTCCATTATTAAAGCTGTGCATTTCTTTGTCAACAGAGTGAACTTGTATGAACTCATCAAAAAGAATAACTTCCAGGGCTTCAGCCTCGCTCTGATCCGCCGGTTCACTCATGCGCTGCTCAGGTGTTTGCAAATGCTGCACAAGGAGAAGATAATCCACTGTGACCTCAAACCGGTATGGAGCCTGTTTGGATACGTCCGCACCACTTTACTACAAGAAATACAGTGTTGGATTTAATTCAGAATGTCAAACACATTTTGGGCAAGAGTACAATGTGAACAGTAAGATCCAGTAAGGTGCCAAAAGTGGTTTTGGTTTTCTTTGTGGAAAACCACTTTGTACAGCTTATATGAGGCCACTGGCAAGGTTTTTAAGTAATAATTTAATATGTAACGTAAAGTTCTTTTATTTAACATGAGTTTGCATATTATTTTTTTGGTTTTCTAAACATAATGAGTTTAGTTTGGATTAATAAACATTTGTAATTAGGTTTTGGGCTCTAATTTTAGTAAATTACATGCCAGTATTTCTCTTACCAATTCTGTCATTTTGTAATAATATTTTAAAAATCATTTCAAGGGCAACAAATATTGACACCTGTGATTTAAAAGTTAAATAAAGTTATGCAACTCTGTCATGCTGGATTTCAAGTCAATTGAGAGTAACTATATTGTTGCACTTAGTTGACTTTTCCTCAGAGTTATGTAGAAAGATTTGCATAACATTTAACTTATCATCTAAATCCAACACTTTAGTATCCAGTATTACCCTTAGTGAGAGCCTGATGCAGGGACACTTCAAATAAATAACTTCAAAGTGTTGATTTGTTTTTCTTCTTAGGAGAACATTCTTCTATCTCAGCGAGGGCCGGGGAACATCAAAGTAGTTGATTTTGGATCAAGCTGCTATGAACAGCAAAGAGGTGGGTACATTCTCAGAAACACATCTGTCGGTATCTCAGGGTCCCTAACTTTCAATCCACAACAATTGAAATCCGTTGTACATCTAGTTCCTCGTTCTCTTTGGTTCTATCACTAGTTTTCACATGCATGTCTTTTATGGCCTCCATCACATTTTTAGATTTGTTTAACAAACAGAAAAGTGAATAAGAGAGGACTGCCCTCACCCCTAGGCCTCTGTGAGTGTGTGTAATTGTCCTTCCGTTGTGCAGTTTACACGTACATCCAAAGTCGCTTCTACCGCTCTCCGGAGGTGATCCTGGGGCACCCCTACAGCATGGCCATCGACATGTGGAGTCTGGGCTGCATCCTGGCAGAGCTATACACCGGCTACCCCCTCTTCCCTGGAGAGAGCGAGGTGGAACAAGTCGCCTGCATTATGGAGGTAAGCAGTTACTTTCCCCTTAGAACCCACTGTGTCCTGGGCTAAAATCTGGAACCATCTACCTGAAAATGTGAGACAGGCTTCTATTCTGTAAAGCTCTGTTTAGCTGTGCATACAACTGAGAGATTGTATCTGGGCGGAACGGTGGCACGGTGGTTAGCGCAAGAAGGTTCTGGGTTCAATTCGATCTCCAGGCCTTTCTGTGTGGAGTTTGCTGTATGTTCTCCCCGTGTCTGCGTAGGTTTCCTCCGGGTGCTTCGGTTTCCCCTATAACTTAAAAACATGTGCAATAGGTCTGTCATGCACCTCCCGTATGGCGACTTGAGAACAAATGCCCACAACAATTGTAAAAGTGCTTTGTTACTCTGCGAAAGGCACTTTATAAATACCTACTTACTTACTTATCTTCACTCTTTTTAATGTACGGAGAGGCGCTATATAAATAAGATTACTTACTTACATACTGCTAGTATTTTCACTCTTTTTAATGTACAGAGATTATTTATGACTTTAATGCGTTGTAGATTGTTTCTTTTCTTGTTTTTGTTAAGCACTTTGAGTTGCCCTGTGTCTGAACTGTGCCATACTAATAAACTTGCCTTGCCTGATATCTGCAGGTTCTGGGAATGCCTCCTAATGATTTTGTTCAATCCGCATCAAGGAGGAGGCTATTTTTTGGTATGCGTAAGATTTCTGCTTTATATTTGATAGTTAATTTTGCGTAAACAAAAACTTACCAGTGATTTCGATGTCAGATTCAAAGGGAAATCCCAGGAACATCACAAACAGCAAGGGAAAGAAACGGAGGCCGAGTTCAAAGGAGCTGTCGGAGGCCCTGAAAACAAACGATGCGTTGTTCCTGGACTTCATTCACCGCTGCCTCACGTGAGTATACTCTCTGTGTGTTTACTGTTGCTTATTGTAGTGTGACTAAAATGTATTTATTTTTGTCAGTTGGGATCCCACCAAGCGGATGACTCCAGACGAGGGGCTGCAGCATCAGTGGATCCTCGAGGGAAATTTCAACAAAGTCCGGCCCAGAACCAGGCCAACTGTGAAGAAGACAAATGACGGTTCATCCCACGTCGACAATGACAACAAAAAGCAGAACAAGCCAAGTAAAAGTTTAATTATATATGTGTATTAACGACCACACAGTGTGTTTTTTAAGTCTAATCTTCATTCTTTTTTTGCAATAAAAAAACAGCTGTTAAAGTCACCTCAGAGCCTGCCGATAATCACAAACGTACGCAAGACAATTCAGCGGAACGTCTGCGTCCAATCGGAGCTTCGGCGGAAGAAGAGGTTTGTGAGCATAGTTCAAATACCAAGCAGCAGGAAGGAGAAAGACCGGTCCACATCATCATCAAGTCTCAGCAGGAAGTGGGAGATGATAGGAACGACAGCGAAGAACCAGAATGTTTACCGCCCGTCATGTAACTGGGAGAACGAGTGGCTTCTGGAAAATCCTCAAATCCTCGCCGCTGTACTTGAATCCTGTATATAAAGGGCACAATCGTCTATCCTCTCATATCAAAATCACTGCTTCATATTCTTGGAGACTGAAGAGGCAATTTGTCACGAACACAGTCGTAGAGTTGAATAATACTTTATTTAGATCGAGTCACGAGGAAAGCACAAGGCTCAGGTGTTATGGTGATGTCACACTGTAATTCTGAAGTCTTTGCAGTGCGTGGAACTCCTTTAACTTAATTATGTACTTTGACTTTCTTTTTTAAAAAAAATCATAATCCAGTAGATTTTAACAAAAGAGGACGTGGAAATTGATGTTTTGCTTAAAAATGTTTTTTTATTCGTGCAATAATGGCTGAGCCAAAATAGTTTATTTTGTTTCAACAAAGCGGCTGTGTAATTGTTAAATGGTGTCACTTTTTGATTTTTGTTTTGTTTTTGTTTGTTTTTTTACATTTAAGGTCAAACATTTATTTATGTTTTTGTATAGTTGTAAATAGTTTATCAAAATGTTTCTGTGTATGTGAAAAGCAGATATTGGTGGAGATTTAAAGGATCAGCATTTTCAGAATATTATGAAGTGAATTGAACAAGGTTTTACTTGTGTTACAATCATAGACTGTATTGTTACAATATTTAGTTATAGTCTGTGAGACCAACTTTTTATATATTCACGTACTAGAGACAATCTCATATCAATAGTTTGTGCCTTGCAGTATTAGAAATCTTGCACTTTAGTGTCTGGAATTGGAGATTACAAAAGAAAACTTGAGGCTGAAATAAAACCTTGTGCACCATTGAAGTTTTCCCCGTAGTTTTACAATAATACAACTTTAAAGAATCTGTTCTTTTATCTAATTCAGTTTCTGACAGATCCAAGTGCATCCAGAAAGGATGTGGATGTGTATCACCAATTATAAAATAAAACATGTTTTTAACACAAACTCAGCTTATCCCACTTTGTCCATTGGTTTGTTAGTATTGTTTCTGTATTTATTTGTACATTAATATATATTTTTTTCTAATTAGATGATCATATTTATTTTATTATCTTATTGTTATTATCAATGACTGGGACATGTTTGATGTGAATCCAGGCTATACAATTATATTAATGTGTGTTGACCTGCTATTATTCATTTATGAACCAAGTTGCCCAAGAATGTATATAGGAATGTAGGAATGTATATTAGAACCATAAACCGGATTTACCACGCCTGTTAGATAGATTATTCAGATTTTGCATTCTTCTGTACTTGTCAGACACTGAAAATGTACAAGGGTGTGATATACAACCGTCTGAGGTCTAGAGCATCAGATCTGATGCCTGCGCACATGTCTTATAAATGTATAATTTTCTCATGAACGGCAAAAGGCAGCGACTCACTTTTTTTTCTCCGTGAAGTACACATTTCAGGCATTACAACGCTACTTTTGTTTTGTCTGTGTGGCATGCAGGGGATTTTCTACGTGTGTTAGAAAGTCAGTGTCCAATAAGATCTTCGAGCGGTCTCCCGTGAGGTAAAACAGCCAAAACAGTAACGTGTTTTTGCTTACACGCTGACACAGGGACTGCCAAAGATTGTCAGAGAGTAAGATGATTCCTCTCCTGTGTGTATTTATCGTCCCACATGATCTACAAGTGTTGTGTGTGTTCAGACATCTATGGGTCAGACTCTGGGCATTACACAAAGATAGGAGACGCAGATGCAGCGCTCACAGGAGCCAGCACCTGGCTGAAGAGTGTGCATTATTGATATAGACATAGATATATAGATATAGTAATACATACAGTAAAATTATATGATGTTTATGAATATAAGATGTTTTTTTTTTTATGTCTTTGTTTTCTTAGTTTTTTTGTTTTACATATCTTACAGCTGTGATACTGAAGCAATATATAGACATAGACAAACTGCTTCAGGAAGGGCATCAGGAGTACAGCGTTTTTTGCACTTGTAGTGGAATTTTGTAAAAAGTACAATAGTCACAGGTTCAATTTTTTCCCCCATCATCCCCAAGACCTTAAATAAAATTTCTATACAGTGTAAAAAGTTAGCAATAGCATTTAATTGTATTTTTCATTACAATTTGGTGAAATTGAATTTTATTTTTTTCTTTGTCTTCATGATTCCATATTTTTTTATATAATTCATATGACAGCTGTACACTGTGAATATAATAAATCCACAGGTTGTACTGAAAAAACAAAGTTTACTGCTTGACTCTGCATCACAAGATGACTGTTTTATGAGCAATATTCACAAAGAAAACCAGGCGAGGAAGGTCCCCCAAAATGAGCTTAGACCTTGAAGGGTTATTCGATGAATAAGGTTCTCTAATCTTATATTATTCAATCAATGTCGCCACCCTCTGCTTAAAGGAAGAATGGCATCTTTATGCAGCCTGAGAAGCCTGTGTCCAGCCTATGGCCCCACATTGGGGAAATTTCACTACGCACATTGAAATAAAAAAGAATAACAATATACAGATAACAGGTTTTATTGATTGACTGCGGAACTTTCCGCAGTCAACCATTGGTTTTGTATTTCTTTATTCCGTCATTTTTTTTGACACGTTTCACAGCTTTCACATTTTCAACAATTTCCACAAGTTATACATCAAAACGTTCCACATGTTTGGGAGATTATTGCTATTACTTTTGGGACTTCAGCGATTTCCGGTTTTTCCGCAATCGGACAAAAATCTGCATTGAGAATTCTGCAATGCATTTTAATAGGCCCATGCATTTTAATAGGACTTCAGCTCTTTCAGACATTTCTACAGTTTCAATGATTCAACAGTTTCAAGGATTCAACAGTTTCAAGGATTTCAGCAGTTTCAAGATTTCAAGAGTTTCAAGGACTTCAACAGTTTCAAGGACTTCAGCAGTTTCAAGGACTTCAGCAGTTTCAAGGACTTCAGCAGTTTCAAGGACTTCAGTGTAATCATGCAACCTAATAGGGATTTTTCCATGTAAACCAGTATAATGCAACTTAATAGGGATTTTTCCATGTAAACCAGTATAATGCAACTTAATAGGGTTTTTTCATGTAAACCGTATAATGCAACTTAATAGGGTTTTTTCATGTAAACCAGTATAATGCAACTTAATAGGGTTTTTTCATGTAAACCAGTATAATGCAACTTAATGGGGATTTTTCCATGTAAACCAGTATAATGCAACTTAATAGGGGTTTTTACATGTAAACCAGTATAATGCAACTTAATAGGGTTTTTTCCATGTAAACCAGTATAATGCAACTTAATAGGGTTTTTTCCATGTAAACCAGTATAATGCAACTTAATAGGGTTTTTTCCATGTAAACCAGTACAATGCAACTTAATAGGGATTTTTCCATGTAAACCAGTATAATGCAACTTAATAGGGTTTTTTACATGTAAACCAGTATAATGCAACTTAATGGGGATTTTTCCATGTAAACCAGTATTATGCAACTTAATAGGGATTTTTCCATGTAAACCAGTATAATGCAACTTAATAGGGTTTTTTCATGTAAACCAGTATAATGCAACTTAATAGGGTTTTTTTTCATGTAAACCAGTATAATGCAACTTAATGGGGATTTTTCCATGTAAACCAGTATAATGCAACTTAATAGGGGTTTTTACATGTAAACCAGTATAATGCAACTTAATAGGGTTTTTTCCATGTAAACCAGTATAATGCAACTTAATAGGGTTTTTTCCATGTAAACCAGTATAATGCAACTTAATAGGGTTTTTTCCATGTAAACCAGTACAATGCAACTTAATAGGGATTTTTCCATGTAAACCAGTATAATGCAACTTAATAGGGTTTTTTACATGTAAACCAGTATAATGCAACTTAATGGGGATTTTTCCATGTAAACCAGTATTATGCAACTTAATAGGGATTTTTCCATGTAAACCAGTATAATGCAATTTAATAGGGATTTTTCCTTGTAAACCAGTATAATGCAACTTAATAGGGTTTTTTTCATGTAAACCAGTATAATGCAACTTAATGGGGATTTTTCCATGTAAACCAGTATTATGCAACTTAATAGGGATTTTTCCATGTAAACCAGTATAATGCAACTTAATAGGGTTTTTACATGTAAACCAGTATAATGGAACTTAATAGGGGTTTTTACATGTAAACCAGTATCATGGAACTTAATAGGGGTTTTTACATGTAAACCAGTATAATGCAACTTAATAAGGATTTTTACATGTAAACCACTATAATGTAACCTAATAGGGGTTTTTACATGTAAACCAGTATAAAGCAACTTAATAGGGATTTGTACATGTAAACCAGTATAATGCAACCTAATAGGGATTTTTCCATGTAAACCAGTATAATGCAACTTAATAGAGATTTTTCCATGTAAACCAGTATAATGCAACTTAATAGGGATTTTTCCATGTAAACCAGTATAATGCAACCTAATAGGGATTTTTCCATGTAAACCAGTATAATGCAACCTAATAGGGATTTTTCCATGTAAACCAGTATAATGCAACCTAATAGGTTGCATTAAACCACCAGACCAAGACCCAAACGAAGACTCAGACCACCACCAGATAATGACCACAGACCAGGTTTCCTTAGTTACAGGAACCAAATTGTTTCAGCGGTGAGGGGATTTTTCAGTTTCAAGGACACTTTCAATACATTCAGTAGTTTCAAGGATTTCAACTGTTTAAGAATTTAACCAGTTTCAAGGATATCAGGAGGTTCAAGGATTTCAGGAGTTTCCACACTTTCAACAGTTTCCAGGTTTAAAAAAAGTTTCAAGGATTTCAGGAGTTTCAATGTTTCAACAGTTTCAAGGATTTCAGGAGTTTAAAGGTTTCAACAATTTCAAGGACTTCAGGAGTTTCAAATATCTATCAAGTATTTTAACAGTTTCAAGGCCTTTTAAAGGATTTCAAGGATTTTTTTTAGCAGATTTCCACATTAGATCTGTTCCGCAGTCAATCGCAATGGCTTCAGCCATTGCAAGTTTCTAGTTTATTATTATTATTTAACAGAATAAAATCACTCAAAACAAGAAAACAAATAGAACACAATAGAACACAATAAAAAAGCCACATTAACATTATTCTTATCCTAATATATTCTGGATAAGGGGCTGGTGCCCCCTGACCCAGAAATGGATTAAGGAAAAGAAAATGTATGGATGGATAATATATTCTTACTTGAAGTAAAATATATATAAACAACATAAAATCCTTTATAGCTTGGTAAAATAGAAAAATTTGCACAACCGTTCACGGATTAAGAATACATACCCTAAAAACAATTACACAAGGGTTACAGATGTAGGGAACATTTTTGACCCGTGCGACGTGCCGTAGAACCAAGATGGCGGCGGTGTCGCTCATTAGCCGTCCTGCGGGTGTCCTTTCAAAGATTACTTGTGAGTTCTGTTCATTACAGATCACCCTCGGCAGTAAAATACAAAGGCAGGTGTTGAGTAATATTGCAGATATTTCTAGAGTCGTGTAGATTATTTACTTGTGTCGCTGCGCTGTGTTGACCTTGCTAACAGCCTGTCTGTGCTAAAGCTACACAACATAGTCTGCGCTTACGTTCTTCTCACCTTTGTTTATGCTGTAATCTATTACACGTATCTGATATGTCTTTTACTTAACGTAATACATCATTTTAAAAGCACATGTATTACTCACATTCCCATTAAATGTCTGTCGGGGTGTTTTACGACAACTTCTTTTGACTTAGAATAATGTTTTCTAATTATAACTTATTATTTAATTTCAATTTCATGTATGTTTTGCACGATTAAAGCGGGCAGCAGTCCTGCTGTATGGACTCTTGCCTGTGTCAGCTCGGGTCAACGGAGGGACCTACATCATGCAGTGATCCCTAAAGGAAAAGGGGGGCGCTCTTCCTCCAGTGGGATCGCAGCCACTGTCTTTGGTGCGACTGGTTTCCTTGGTCGTTATGTGGTCAATAGACTCGGTAAGTGGAAGAGCTTTTGACTCAATAGTCTGTTGATTTACTGTGATATTTATGTTGCATGGTATTATGGTAATGTTTTTTCGTCTGCAGGTCGAATTGGCTCTCAGATTGTTGTCCCTCATCGATGTGATCAGTATGACCTCATGTACATGAGGCCCATGGGGGACCTTGGTCAGATTATATTCATGGTATGCAGATTTTTATTATTTTGGGTTTCACACTGTCATTTAATCCCTATGCTTACTTTGTTGAAGGAGTGGGATGCCAGAAACAAGGACTCCATCCAACGTGCTTTAGAGCATTCCAACGTTGTCATTAATCTTGTGGGCGAAGAGTGGGAGACAAGGTATTTTCAGAAAACACATTGTTATTAACAAAGATTGTTACGATTAAATGTTATTGTCGCCTTCAGCAATTATAGCTTTGAGGATGTCTTTGTGACCATTCCCCAAAAAATCGCTCAGGCAGCTCGACAGGCTGGCATTACCAAGTTTGTGCACATGTCCCACCTCAATGCAGATATACGCAGTCCATCTAAGTACCTGAGAAACAAGGTAACATGTCTGGTCAGGGTGCAAAAATCTATAGCGATCATTCTGCCTACAAATGTATTTGTGAAAATTACTAGGCTGTTGGAGAAACGGCTGTGAGAGATGAGTTTCCAGAAGCCATTATCATGAAGCCTGCTGAGATCTTTGGGAGAGAGGACCGATTCTTTAACTATTATGCAAGTAAGTTAAAACAAACATTTTCATATTACAGAATCAAAATGATATGTAAATACTGTGTTTCAACAATGAAATATAATTTTGTTGTGCAAAATGGTTTAAATTTCTTAGTACCTTTTTTATCATGTATACTTATTAGCACTACTATACAACCTATTTCAGATATGCGCTGGTTTGGAAATGCTGTTCCTTTGATGTCCCTGGGAAAGAAGACAGAGAAGCAGCCTGTTCATGTGAGTGTCTTTACTGTATTTACAGAGTGATTATAGTTTACTCAACTGTTTAAAGGCAATGATAAACTCTGAGATGGCGAGGTGACCCTCCCGGTCCACACAGACTCCAATCTAGCCGTGCTAACGACAGACCAATGGTTACAAGTGAATTTGTATTCTGGGAGCTGTCGTTCATTTTCTTGTAGGAGAGATGTGGCATACGATTGTTCGTAGTAGTGTATTTGGTGCTACAAATATCTAGTCCTAAATGCGACCGTCGTATCATTACATGTCACACAATGATAGAAATGCAACAAGAAGGAACTCTGTAAAGAAGACAATGGTTACACCAGGATGTTGGAACACTCTTGGCTGTTGTGCAAGTTAAACATGAGCAAATAATAAAGACAACTCTGCGCCTGCTGTTATCTGCTCGATCTGTAAACAAGCCTCCGTCTGTCAAAGTCATTGTCTTTCAGTCACTGCTCATTCAGCTTCACTTTCAAGGATTTCATGTTTTAAAACTGTTACACTGCAATTACATTTACTATTGAAGTTGCAAATAACATCTGAAATCTTTTACAGTCTGAAAGCGGCTCACTTTTGCGTATCATTCTTGAATTAGTTACACAGTTGATGCTTCCAATTTGTTTCCTTCTGGTTGCAATATTTCCTTACTGCTACTCTTGTACATACAGGAAAAGTGAGAGTCCAACTATTACTATTCCAAAAATCATTTATACTTCCGAACAATGACAAAGGACGTTAAAAAAGAAACCTATATAGTAAACAACAGAAAAGCACTTTTCAAAGCACCTCAGAAGAGCCGCATGAGTTCTTCTAAAGAGACTTTCTTTTCCAGGTGGTGGATGTGGCAAAGGCCATTATAAATGCTGCCAGAGATCCTGATGCCAATGGCAAGACCTATGCACTTGTCGGGTAAGATTTGTTACAATATAAAACGTTCATGGGGCAAATTGAAATTTCACCACTCGCATTTAGTGATTGTGAGTGATTCCAGGAGGATTCAGCACTGTGCTACACACTTGATAGTAGGCGTTTACAACCTGTGGCTCGAGAGATACCAGTAGCTCGCCAGACCCTTTGAGGTAGCTCCCCCAAGGATTTAGAGTTTAACAAATGATCTTGAATGAATACATTTAGTCATTACATTTCTATTATAAGCACAACTATAGGGTCTTACATTATTATGATATATTTGCGTTCTGTTTTTGTCATAATTATTATATTATTTTTTTTATTACAACTGCAAAAAGGAGTAGCTCTCTGCCTCTTGTTGCATAAAAGTAGCTATCTAATTGAAAAGAAGTTGGAGACCCCTGCTATACAGTATTTGCTGCTGTGAGTTGCATCCCTCTGTTCTTTTGGAGTTATGGCACGAATGTCCTAAATATTCAAACATTTTATACATACAATATTTCTAGATCCATTTTGGATTTTCAATTATTCAAACATTATAGATAGCATATAGCTGACAACGGTCCGATGTCTTCCTGAACACTCAATTTGTTGTTTTTTTCAGTCCCAACCGCTACCTGCTCCATGACTTGGTGGAATACATCTACGCAGTGGCACACAGACCTTTTGTGCCCTATCCTCTTCCTCGTCCACTTTATCAGTAAGCTGGTACTTTCTCGTCATAATACTTGTGACTCCATAGGCTTCTGATCATCTTTTACCTTTCGTCCTTTCTCTTAGTCTTGCTGCTAAATTTTTCTCCATGAACCCGTTCGAACCCTGGACAACCCCAGACAAAGTTGACAGAGTAAGAAAACAAACGTGTGCGTGATTTGAAATTGGGTGCCTTTTGACTATTGGTTCGTTTCTTTTTCTTGTTCAGTTTCACTTGACCGACATGAAGTACCCAGGTCTTCCGGGTTTAGAGGATCTGGGGATCACACCCTCCTCCGTAGAACAAAGGGCAATCGAGATCCTGCGCCGCCATCGCCGCTTCCGTTATCTTGAAGCTGAATTGGATGAAACGAAGCCTGCAAAGACTGTCAGCGTTTAAAAATACGGTTGATTTGTATATTCATCAACATTATCTGTGCTGCAGGAGGACGGTGACCCCTAATGCTCTTTAAATGTATTGTGTACATAAAGTTTTATCACCACTGTGGACTCTTTGTCTCTATGGAATCAACAATGTTACATAATTCACTCTTTATCAAAGAATGGAGATATCTCACATTTTATCTGTGCTAACATGTGACAATTTAGCAATGTTTTTTAAGACTGGAAAACTCGCAACAAAACAATGTTACAAGCAGTAATGCTGTGTAGGGAGAAGCAGAGCCTCGGTTTTTTTTCTAAAGAAGAATCAATCAGGGAATTTGGATTTGTTTTAGCACTTTAACCCATACCTTTCAGAAGCACTTTGACCACTTACTGTCAACTGGACAAGATTGTAAATACCCTCCAGAGGCTAAGTATAGGAATAGTAATAATTAGGCTTTTATTTAGAACATAATTTTGATATCGATATTAGCAATGTACAGTGTGTAGTGAGTTCAACAAATCGGTTAATAAGGTGAAAATCCGGCTGAGATCAAACCAATGAAGACAATTGAAATATTCTGGTGATGGTCTTTCAGAGGAGGAGCAGAGGTAGACACTATTCCAATGTACGGCTACAAAACATTTCAGAGCAGCAGGTTCCTACTGAACTGAGGCTTGCCAGATATGAGACGGAAGGTACAATTTGCATGTTTGCATTCCAGCAACGTAAACCAGGTCAAACTCCGTGATTTGAACTCCCTCGCCGTGCAGAGGCCCGGGAAATTAGGCAAGTTCATGTTGGCGAGAATGAAAGATTCAGAGGAGCTGTATATTACATAAAGATCCCAAACTCAAACTTGGTGATTCCAGAATATGAAGTCTATGGTATGAACTGATGGATGTGTCTACCTCAATATTCTTTCACACCATTCATTCTAGGCACTGTGGGTGAGGCATCTTATCCAAGGACACAATCACAGTTTGGCACTTTACAGCAACAGTTGCCCCACTGTGGCTCCTGGTGTTCCCGGAGGTCTCCCATCACATCATTAACCAAGCCCTGCTCTGTGTCATGGTTTCATTTACACAAAAATATGATTCAATTTGCCATTTTTTTTAAACACACTGTCTTTGAAAATGTCTGCTTTAGTCTAAAAAACATTTTACTTTTCAGATGAGGATTTATTTCAGCAACTGCTGTGTAAAGGTTTATGCACTGACAATGTTCAAATCCAGTAGATAGATTATTTATGATCTTAATTCCATTGTTTCTATCATACTGCTGCTAATGTACAGATGTAAATATATAACTACAAATTGCTATTTAGCCTGATGCAAAATGTTAATACTTTTTTATAATTATTATGTTCAAGATAGAGATTGTATGCTTGTTCTTTGATGCTAGAGTTAGATAATGTGTTTTATTTTAATTAGTATAGCTATTGTTCACTTATCTTGTGCTGTGTGCTCCTCATTCCTACTTTTCTGTAACTTGTGATGCAACACTGAAATTTCCCCGCTGTGGGACAAATACAGGATCTCCTAATCTTTATCTAAATCATGTTTTTCTTTTTCTTTTTAGACTTAGACAGACTTTACTGATCCACAAGAGCTGCCACTCTCTCAGGCGCAGAGTGATGATGAATGATGAATTTGTTCAGCAATTTGAGTCGCTTTGTGTATGAACTGTGACATGAAAATAAAATTGCCTCATTTCAGCAACAAAATTCCAATCTGTCTCAAGGGGAGGAGCAATTATGAAGCACAATACAATGTTGGAAATGTTACTTTTTTGATGTATTCTTTTACATGGTTGTCTTGGCCTTTAAAAATTTGTATGTCTAATTTATATGTCTGTTTTTATACTATGTGAAGCGCTTTGTGACCCTGGTCTGTGAGGGGCGCTATATAAATAAAGTTTACTTACTTACTTACTTACTTTGGTCTGTAACTGCATACCAAAGCCACACCTGGGACTGTGCCTGCTCATCTTAGGATCATCAAACTAGTAGGTCTGGATTTATTAAGAGGCTTATTCATAGATGGCACGGATCAGATTGGGTTGGTCTTGCTTGAACTAAAACAGCATAGTAAAACAATTTAGACTGAGGAAAATATTACCGAGGTAAAGTTAGCCGAACGTTTGATATTGTCCTGATATTCGAACAAAATCCCCCTGGATTCAAAGTCTGTCCGTATTTTCAGTTTAGTGAAGAGTGTAGTATTAAATACTGTTCACAATGTTGCCACCTATCAAAAAAAAAACTTGACTTAGGCTGCAGCTGACGATTTATAACACGAAAAACAATGAAGATGAAGTCTCCGCTCATACGTGTGCTAAGCTCTCAACTAGGGACTGTCTGCAAAGTGCAAGATTTGACAGAACGTTGCAGATGGGTTGGTGAATACAATAAAAAGGGTGTGTTTAAAAAGTAAATGTTCCCAGTTTTGATGGGTGTAGTAGCTCCCACTGAATGATAGCTCGCTACTACAGGCAAAATTTGGGAAAAATATTGTTTTCCCCTTCACAGTAACCAAAATGAAATTGGAAAAATTCACTACAAATCAACAAAGACAGTTTTCCAAGTTCCAAGCACATTATCTGTGCTGCAGGAGGACGGTGACCCCTAATGCTCTTTAAATGTATTGTGTACATAAAGTTTTATCACCACTATGGACTCTTTGTCTCTATGGAATCAACAATGTTACATAATTCACTCTTTATCAAAGAATGGAGATATCTCACATTTTATCTGTGCTAAAATGTGACAATTTAGCTATGTTTTTTAAGACTGGAAAACTCGCAACAAAACAATGTTACAAGCAGTAATGCTGTGTAGGGAGAAGCAGAGCCTCGGTTTTTTTTCTAAAGAAGAATCAATCAGGGAATTTGGATTTGTTTTAGCACTTTAACCCATACCTTTCAGAAGCACTTTGACCACTCACTGTCAACTGGACAAGATTGTAAATACCCTCCAGAGGCTAAGTATAGGAATAGTAATAATTAGGCTTTTATTTAGAACATCATTTTGATATAGATATTAGCAATGTACAGTGTGTAGTGAGTTCAACAAATCGGTTAATAAGGTGAAAATCCGGCTGAGATCAAACCAATGAAGACAATTGAAATATTCTGGTGATGGTCTTTCAGAGGAGGAGCAGAGGTAGACACTATTCCAATGTACGGCTACAAAACATTTCAGAGCAGCAGGTTCCTACTGAACTGAGGCTTGCCAGATATGAGACGGAAGGTACAATTTGCATGTTTGCATTCCAGCAACGTAAACCAGGTCAAACTCAAGTGATTTGAACGTCCTCGCCGTGCAGAGGCCCGGGAAATTAGGCAAGTTCATGTTGGCGAGAATGAAAGATTCAGAGGAGCTGTATATTACATAAAGATCCCAAACTCAAACTTGGTGATTCCAGAATATGAAGTCTATGGTATGAACTGATGGATGTGTCTACCTCAATATTCTTTCACACCATTCATTCTAGGCACTGTGGGTGAGGCATCTTATCCAAGGACACAATCACAGTTTGGCACTTTACAGCAACAGTTGCCCCACTGTGGCTCCTGGTGTTCCCGGAGGTCTCCCATCACATCATTAACCAAGCCATGCTCTGTGTTGCTTAATTTCAAAGATGGGATCTGGCTTTCGTACGCAGGTGGAGCCATAATACACTTAGACCAGGGGTCACCAACCTTTTTGAAACCAAGAGCTACTTCTCCGGTACTGATTAATGCGAAGGGCTACCAGTTTGTTACACAATTACATAAATTGCCAGAAAAAGCCAATTTGCTCAATTTACTTTTAACTCTGTTCATATTAATAATTAATGATATTTATCTTTGTGGAAACACTGATCATCTTAACGATTTCTCACAATAAATATATATAGAAACAGATAAATATCAATATGCAACATTTTTCAAATTGAACATTTTCAAACGATCACTTCTTGTGAAATCACAATATCCCATTTTAACCAACTAGCCACTAACATTTTTTAACAAATCATGAATAACTTTGCACCATGTTTATACAAATAAAACTCATGTAAAATACAAAAGTCAACTCTCGTCACACGTGATGGTGATCTCACAGGAGTTTAGAAACCAAAGCAGTCCCATTTACGCTGCTACTTTCTCCTCTTCAGAACAAAAACAACAGTGAAGCTGTTTGAGATCATTACATGTGTTTCTACTGTAGGTTTATGTGACAGTTCTAAACTCATCGTTTCAACTCATTTAACTCTGATGTTGTGAATAAAGACACAGTTCTTGTTGGAAACATAGTTATTATTAAAGTGTATTCAGCACAAACAGATAATCAATAAGTGGTAAATATCTGAGAAAAACACGAACTATAAGTGCAGTAGGAATGCAACAGACGCGATAAGCTACAACGCAAACAAGACAGGAACAGTGCAAAAGAAACAACTGCACAGTTTATAAGTTATATCAGGCTCTGCCATGAGACCAAACTACTTTTCCTTCGGTTCCTTCGAAGCACAAAGCGGTCTGCTCCGAAGTGCCTCGTCCGTGCTCCCTGCAGCCGCTCCATGCTTCCGTCCAAAACACACACACGAACCAATCACAGCGGAGCTCCTCTCACACACGGACCAATCACAGCGGAGCTTGTCTGCGGCGTTGGCCGCGTAGTATTCGAGGGTGCGTGGCAGGCTACGTAAGGGCCTTGATGTGATCCACGCGTTGCGCAAGTGACGTCACGTCACCTCCGTGAGCTCCGCGCAGCGCACTAGGCTTGAGTGCTACTATTTGAGCTATTTTTAGAACAGGCCAGCGGGCGACTCATCTGGTCCTTACGGGCGACCTGGTGCCCGCGGGCACCGCGTTGGTGACCCCTGACTTAGACAATGTATTCCTCTATGTCATGGTTTCATTTACACAAAAATATGATTAAATTTGCCATTTTTTTAAACACACTGTCTTTGAAAATGTCTGCTTTAGTCTAAAAAACATTTTACTTTTCAGCTCAGGATTTATTTCAG